AAATATAAAGAGAGAATACTATTTTTTAAGTATTATTAGAAGATTATACTGAATTAAATTTATTAAAATTATAGAATATTAATTTTATCAAAAAAATATATAATTTAAATATTTAAAATTTTAGTAGAAAAATATATTATTTATATAATTATAGAATATAGAATTATTTACTCTGTTTATATTAAAATAGATATCTATAGATTATTTATTATAGATTATAGATTATAGTCAAGAATCTAAAATCTATAATAGATTAGAGAATTGGATCTAAAATCCGTAATAGATTAGATTAGGTTCGGGTTGGGTTCGGGTTTTGATAGGTCCTGCCGAAGTCTAATCTAGATCAGTTAAGGAATTTTATATCTTAACCTAACTGAGGCCGGTTAGGTTAGGTTATGGCTAGGTTACAGCGGTTAGGTTATGCCATTCTAACTGCTTCTATTGTTACTATAGCCAGTATATTACCTGTCAGTACCGCACTAGACCGGGATCTGTAAAAAATTATTGCCTAAGGCAACCGCCATTACAGTTTAGATATTTTATTAGAGCAGAAATATATCTTAAATTCTCTCTATGTACAGTCGAACTGCACACTGTCCTTGGATAGGCTAAGGATTGCGAGGCTAAGAGGGCCATTTCCGGGCCACAATAGTCGAAATATCTATCTGTAATCAAAAATTCAAGTTTTTACTTAGTCAAGCGAGTAGATCTAGTAGATTCAATCCGATGTAGAAATCTGGCCCGATCTAAATAGAGTGACAGCACGAGACAAAGAATAACATTGGTCCTAACTAGTCTAAACATCTCAAGAGTGATAGGAAGAAGAAACATATGCTGACAGGCATGGGGAAACCAACAACCTAGTTACAGACATTGTCATTTGTCACATATAGCACTACTGTGGATCGATATGTTGAATAAAGATCCTGGATATGGCAGTTGACCAGCACATGGTTTCAAGTACCGTCAGCGTAACTACCATCACTCCTTGTAGGTCTGACAAAGCTATCATAGAAACATGAAACCAAGTCTATTTAGGCTTGGACCAGGACAGGGCGATAGTACCAATACTTTCCAGAGCATTGTCCACAAATAAATCAATCAAACCATCCTTCACGGCTGTTGTAGTGGCTGCGTCGTAAGGGATCCCATGATGTGAGATACCAAGGGTCTTCTTGTAGTAGTTCACTTCGTGAGTGCACCCTTTCCCTTTAGTACCAAAATCCTTTAATCCATTCTCACACAGGGTATTCAGCGTGGCTTTGGCTATCTTCCCAGCCTTTAGAGCAGCACGGGTCTGGGGGGTCAGATTCATTGTTGTCTCCAAGATGACCTTCTTGTTCTTCAACAGCCATAAGGAAGGTTTAGAAGATGCATCCGTAAACTGGTGAGTGATATGATTCATCCCCTTTTCCATCAAGCTTCCGACTAGGTCATGACAAACGGCATCAACGGCAGCACGAAAGGGGGCGGCTTCTTCGAAGTTCTTCGAGAGTTTCTTGGCACAGCTCTTCTTATCGACTTCCTCTGAGGTTGGAGGGAGAAAGCTTGCTGGACAGCGATCGGAATTCTTGCCACTAGGAGTATGGAGGTTCACGTCACCATTTCGATAAACTCCACGGCACCTGAAAGCAACGTTGTCATCCACAACATTAGCAGACTTAAAGCCGTTTAGCTGCTTAACACATTGCAAGAAACTGGATTCAGTCCAATTGCTTTGGATTGGGGGGGAGCCGATGACACCTAAAACCTCAGGAGCTTCCGGTGCAGGGGCAGCGTCAGCAAAGGAAAAAAGAGTGCCTGTTATAATAAAGATTGTAACAAGAAACTTAGTGTTCATTTTTGCAATGGAATTCTAGGGGTAGATAGATTTGATGATGGAACTTAGAATTGGGGTGATGCTGGAATAGCTTCTTTTCTGAGCATCCATACTCTACTTATATCTGTCAGCTGGCATTTCTGTCTATTATATGATTGTTAGGCAACCACCAACAACTCTTCTATCTACAATATTTTCTTCATACCTTTGTCTCGTTTTGATAGAGTATGACGTTGACGAAAACCAGGTATTGGATCTTTTGTTGGCTGTAAGGCTGCCTCGTTTCATATGTAGAACCAGTGACATGGGTCTCATGCAAGGCTCAAGCACTAATGTCTTGGAATGGCACTGAAATGATAGAAAGTATTCAGCTAGCAAGAACTGTGACTTACAACTTGGACTGTGACATCACCCTACATTTGGGGCTAGATAATGTATAGCTGGGCCGAACCTTTCAAACTATGGTTATCAGCCAACAGTCTACCAAGGAACTCTAGACTTGTGCCGATTCTGGTTGGAATAACTCTGCATACGGTCAGGGGTATGTGTCTAATTTGACGATATGTGGTATCCTATATCCTACTGGTGCAACTTTAAATTGCATCTCCGACCGAGAGGGTCCTGATATCTCGGAACTGATGAAGGCCGAGATAGTAGGGTTCTCTGCTATACCAACATCAACACTGTGGAAGAGCGAATTAGAAAAGATGCTGTTCCTGTATAATTGGATCGGCGCGCTTGGGCCCCATATCCACCTCACTGGCGGTTGCCCCTTGTCAGCTATAATCAAAGCCAATGTTAGATGCTCTGCCTGTATAGATAGGAATTCGCCACATGTCTCCTCGAATACCGTTTAGAAATAATAAAGTTGAAACATGTGTGCCTTATGCCTCTAAGTCTTGATCATGCGGACACTAGGATTGATCCAATCGTTGATGAATTAAGGAACAACTACCAGCCATTAGGGTTAGCACTATATGGCATGTCCTGTGTCTAAGTGCTATGGCTGCTGCCTGCTAAGGCCATCATGCATACCCTTCATGGGGGGGCAAATCATTACTGAAGCTGATCCCTGTTGGTGGCTAATAGACAACAAATGGCCTTGCCTTGTGATTGGCCGAATTCCACGAACTGTTGGGTTTCAGGTATCTGGCCAGATGCTACAGCTATACGACCAAGATCGCTTACCTAGATATAGTGGCCATATGAATGTATTTCTACGTATATATATCGTTCATATCACCCAGCAACAAGACGAAAATGATAGACAGCAACCACACAGGAACCGGAACTATTACCCTGAAGCAACAAAAGCCGATTAAAAATATCATATATCTTTTTCTTGTCTATAATGAACTGGGTTATACTGAACCTGTTTGCAGTGTTCGCTGTTAGCAGTTTCTCTTCTTCAGTCTTTACACAGCCAACCGGAGATATTGAACCCTGGGAAAACCAGTCTGTTGGCGATGATTTTGGTAATGGTAAACAGTGCCCCTGGATATAGTTGGCTTTCTGACAGGATACACTGACCCCAAGAAGAAATTGGAAGCTATAACGCCCAGCCAAACTATGCCAGGAGAGAGATAACAGAATCGCTTCCTGGAGTGCCCGCCCACCCGGATTTCGAGACGAATGTAGGACATAGAGCTACCCCAGAGCATTGTCAGTCGAGGAACAAATGAGGAACACGCTCTGTCGTTGTGGTTTGGAACGCCCTGGAAAAAGCAAACATTTTACCACTTCATTCGAGCCGAAGACATGGATGCCAGCAAGAGGACTAAATTTCATCCAAATGAGATTAAGGGCCTAGCAAAGAAGGGCTATGAGCTGATCCAGGATAAGTTTAACTTCAACGGAAATGTGATAGTGACTGCGCTCTTTATCCCTGATGTTGGACTCGCGGTAGGTTCTAAGCCCCGGGGTACAGGCATGGCAGATGAGCTCTTTATGAGAAGCCACAAAGTCAGTGGTAAATATGACTCCGTGGGGAGCTGGTTTGAGAGATATTGGGAGCTTGTAGATGGACGAGACATTACGGATTCCTGCTCAGACGTTCTTCCGGAAGATTTACTCCACGCAGAGGACCTAGTGATCATTAAAGGGGCAGACGAATACTTGAAAAAGGAGAAAATTCGTGACTGGGGGGAAAAGAGATTTCCTAAGGGAACGCATATGGTTTCGTATGGAAGGTATAACTCCAAGCCTGGTTCAAATTCTGTGGGACCAAAGGAACCCTGCGGTGGAACGGAAAAAACACAGTTGAGCATGCCCTGCAAAAATATTGCACATAACCTGGGCATTGACTGGTCAACTTGATAGTCATTCCTTTGGATATCTTTGGCTCTTCGGATTTCTTGTTACTCTTATTCTATATCAACTTCCTCAACGATTGTGACGCTTTGTTTTGAGAAGCTTTTGTTATGGTAATATGTGCTCCTGGAAATTGGAAATCAATGATCATTGCTTTTGTTTTCTGGCCTCTTGCTCTCGGAGTAAGATACTAAATTAGGCGGTATCACTATGTAGTAGCTTTCGTGACTGATGCTAACAGGCTCAGTATTTCTGGATTGTTGTGCCGTGCAGCATATGAAAGGAGTGTTTGGCCGATGGCATCTGTTTCCCTACTATTAATTGGAGATGAAACCTGTATCAGCAATTTAATTGTCTCAAGATCACCATATTGAATCGCATATGATAATGCTGATCGTCCCCGATTATCCCTTTCGTTAGGAAACCCTTGGCCATTCTGTTTCAATAACAGGTCGACAATTTCCCGATGTCCTCCCTCTGCAGCTACCGACAAAGCATTGCGCTTGTCGGCTTCGCTTTGCGCTGCTAGGTCAACCTTTCCCGTCTCTAAAAGAAACATAACTATATCTGTATGTCCTTCACCCGAAGCTCTAATAAGTGCAGTATATCCATTTCTCGGGGTAGTGTTGAGGTCAGCCCCTGCTTCATATAGTAATTTCATGATGGATAGGTGTCCATTCGATGCGGACTGAACGAGGGGAGAGCAATTATTGTCGTCTCTGGGGTCAGGATATGCCCCCCTTGCGAGTAGAAGCTGCACGATAACTCTAGAGCCAGCCTGCACTGCCCGGTGTAACGCTGTCATTCCACGGGAGCATTGGTGGTTCACATTGATATGTGGCGTGTTAAGCAATAGCTCCACTTTCGTTGCAAATCCCCTGCTAGCCGCGAAAATCAGGGCGGTCCAGCCCTTCTTCCACAAATAATCCGTACCTATCGCAGCATTGACATCAATGTCCTGTCGACATAAGAATAGTGACACAGCTTCTTCTGAGCCGAAACTAACTGTCCAGGCAAGTGGTGTACGGCCATGGTGATCTTTCCAATTCGGATCTACGCCTGGGGCGGCAAGCAGCTGTTTAACCACTGCATCTTGGTTACTTAATCCCGCGTAAGCAATCGGGGGTTTCCCCATGGCATCTCCTAGATTCGGGTTGATGCCTTTTGTTGACAGCAGAAGGGCAACCATATGTACATGTCCTGCACGAGCTGCTCTTGCTAAAAACGTTATCCATCCTCTGGACTCTCTATCATGATATTGGAAATTAGGATCGATTCCCTCTTGCAATAGAAGAGTCTTCGCAATACTCGTGTGTCCCGCTTGCACTGCTATTGTAAGTGCATCATAGAATGTCTCAAGTTTTACATTGCTTGAAAGTCCGAAACTAGCGTTCAGTGAATGATGAGCAGTCTCCACCATCCCATGATCGGCGGCCCATACGAGTGCGGACATCTGTCTATGCATAGCATTGAAACGATACAAAAAAGGATTAATTGTCCTGTGAAAGTCGCGGTTCGTCCTGACAATCGAATTTATATCTGACTCCGAGGCAAGAGAGCCTGCAATATGATGAAGAATTTCATTTGGCAGGTCCAGCAGCGGCCGCATCGCGTTCTTTTCTTTGGTTAAGTGAGTTATTGCGTTATATGCTTGGTGTCAACCTTTGGGCCTTGTGGATGGAAAGGAAGATCGATAATAAAAAAGGAGATAAATCCCTAGGGACAGAACGGATCTAGTAGTCCCACAAAGAGAGTAAGGTGGAGATAAGCAGAAGACAAGAAGGTGTCGAGGCTGGAGGAATACGTCTAAATTCCCCGCACTGAGGCTATCACATGACAGCCGCGCCAACAGCAGCACAATCTAGCTGCTGAATGAGAATAATCCACTATTAGAACTACACCTCGCCAGAATCCACGGGTGCCAATAATTTTCAGTCAGTCCTGTCACGAAGGAAAATATCCAACTTGGATCTGCACCCTCCCGTGATTCGTGAACTGGGAGACCTTATCAAGCTGAGTGCATAAGTAATAATTGACTGTTAACCTAAAGAAACTGTTCGATATACCGGGAGCACTAGTCACATGACATACCAGGGATGTAGTTGAATCCGTTGTTTAGATCTTGAAGCAAGTAATCAACGGCAATGCCCCTGGCCCAGACTCCAATCCGGATACATTAGGCAGACTCATTCAAAGCCCAGGTTTCAGAAAAAGACCGGGTTACACACTGCAATCAACTATATCACCATGCTTTCAACATGAGAATCGGGATCGGTGTCAAGAAAAGAGGAAAGAAATATTATTATTATGCTCGGGCTGCATAGCCAGGCGAACAAAGCCAGATACTGCGGTCGAGTATTCCGAGTCAAGGAGACTCACATGTTGATGGACCAAGTAGTTTCCGACAAATGATGTTTGACTCTACCATAGAGCGCCGCAACCACAAAACCGGGGCTATGTAATATAAATGATATGATATAATTGGGTGCTAGCAGAAATGACACGAGAGGCTTATGTTGCCCACTACGTAACATTGGCATAAAGAAAAATTCCCACACCTGCTCAGCCGTTTAGAACTCCAGTAAGGCTTTCTCCAGCCAGGGATTGAATGTCGTTATCGGGATCTCTACCCACCTCTCTTGCTGTGCCAAGGCAATCATCCTATCCGTCGCAATGTTAGGAGGGGTCGCTCCACACTCAGTGACTTGGAAAAATCCCTAACAGACAGCTTCTTTGTATATGGTGCCGCTCCAAGTGGCAGTGCATCCGGATTTCGTGGCAGGTTGGTGCCCAGGATTTAGGGTGACTTAAAACATCTGAAGAAGCCCCGCCAAGGGAAAAGCTCTGTTCTACAAATCGAAAAATTCAACTTGCAGCAAGCAAGTGCACCCAAGCCAACGCTCTGTGGTTCCTGGACAAAGTTTGAGGGTGTTTTACAATGCAATACGCACAACGGACCTACTGACATGTCTTTCTGTGACCTCTTCCAACAATCTTCCCGACGGGACAGATCACCCCCTCTACCATCTCTATCTATAGACTTTCGGCTCTTGAGGTCACCCCAGGGCCTTATCTACGTGGTATATCTAGGCAGCCACCGATATGGATGGACTTTGCTGGTCTTGAATCTCTCGAGAGTGGAGAGGCACCTTTCTCAGCCTGCCTTTGCTTACCTCGGTATTGGTATTGTTACCATGCCTAGTTAGAGTTCTATATAATCATAGCATACAGCTACCTATCAAGTCTAGTACTATAGAACTGATTCATTCATCATGGGACAAAAGGGGGTCAGACGATGCGGAAGGTTAATTGATCTAACAGAAACAGTTAGGGCAACAGTAATATCGTACACAGTGTTGTTGGCCTCCGTCAGCAAGGGAAGCAGCTGGGAGCTTATCCCACTGCACCAGGTAACCACTGAAAGAGAGGGGTAAATATCATCTTGAAACGACGATGCGTCGAATTGATCAAAAATGTAAGTGCCTAGTCAGTTGAGATATTTTAATGTACTCTTCTCGTGACCAAAGTTTGTTGGTTCAGTTTGCAGCGGCCAGGAGATAAACTAATCCAAGACCGCCGCTAATGCAGGGTGTCTGCGGCAATTAGACAAGCGGGCGGGGTTCAGTAATGCTGATATCATCACCTGGATTAGTACAAGGCAGAATAATACCAGAAACCCTGTGGACTAAGCGCCCTGCTAGACATGGGCGCTAAAGCTAACATAGATTGTCGTCCTACAGCGCGTGTTAAATTCTAATCCCGTGCGACTAGATAACTATCAGGCATACAGCGCCATAGTATGCTGTTCATTTGCCATTTAGAGCAGCTCATTTAAGAAGCTATCTATGTAGCCTAACCGGTTTCTCATTAATGGCGTTGGCTTGAATTATTTTATTTTTTATTTTCTTCTAGATACCTCCCAGGAACAGGAAAAGGATGAGTGTAGGAGGATACAACGTTAGTTGATTAGAGAATTTTAATGGTGATGCTTTCGCTGCTCTTGTTTTCTAGAGAGATCTGCATAGTCTATACCAAATCTCGTGATAGATAATTTCCGTCCTAGGCATCAAGGACTTGGAAAGCTTCTGCCATAAAAAGCTAATAGCAAGGGAAAGGGGCTTAAGCGCAAGCTTGGGACTGGGCAAATCTTCTATTTGTCCCCTGGGACCAAAGCCCCGAGACGTTGGCGTCCTATTGGAGAATTAGAGGGAGGAACTATCAACGCACGGAAGGCCGGCCAGATAGGCTGCTTCCTTTCTACCACCAGTTGATAATTATTATTCTAGACTTATATATTCTTCGCTCTGGTTCTACAAGGCATGAGGTTTACTTGTACTACCAGATTCTTACCCCATTATAAAAGCGATTAGTCATAGCGTGTTGAACCCTACGGCCAGCGGACAAGGCGGCCATGGTATACCTCAACCACACGCAGCTGCGCGGGGTAGCAAAGACAACCAGCGTTAGCCATGACCAGCTCAGCGGTACCACTCTAGGCTGTTCAGGAGATGGTAGTGCAGGAAGCTCAGTAACCAGTCTCCGCAGCTCCTCGGTGGCCACGAGCTCGGCCGGTTCGAGCGAGATCCTGGTCGGACTTGGCATCTCTACTACCACACTGGGCCTCAAAGTAGAGGACCACCAGCTGCCTATAACTCCTAGACCATACCATGGCCATTGCGTTGGAGGCAACGGTACCTTACTTCGCCGGAATGAACTGGACAAGCCCCTCCCACCACTACCATTAGGTGAAAGTGCTCCGAGCTATGGAACCATTGAGCAAAGATACCTGGAGCACGGTCTCCCAAAGCACTATCCCTTACCCCCTCGACCCCTGGGGCGGGAGCACTGGTCGCTCCCCAACAAGCCAGAAGCTCGTGACCTGGCAGCACTGGATCGCGCCTTCGCCAGAAAGGGATTGCTCAGTAATCCCCTGCGTCACCTCCGGGCTCACCGTCACCTTCATGATGCGCCCACGGCAGCACTAAGCGCACCATTGGTGCATGGTCTGGACGAAGAGCCAAGGAAGACCGGGCCACTCCAACGTTGGCAACCATTAGAAACGAGGAATAAGCCGGGGGTGTCCCCCGTTGAGCCAGCAGCACCCATAACCCAGACACAGCACAACGAACCAATTCCAAACCCGGCACTGGTTAGCGCGTGGGCGGAAGATATTCCAGCAATTCCGGCGACCACAGCTGCTCCACAAGCTATCCTGGACCGTTCCCCAGCCCACCCGCCATGTTGGAGAGGCCTCCACACAGCCTCCACTGCGCCGCATGCCCTCGAGAACCACAGGGCGGAATGAGCCGCCAATTCACACGGACCTCGGGGCAGTCACGCGCGTGCAACGCATCCTGTCTATTCTCCTGGAGAACCGGGCTTTCCTCTGCATGCCGAACATGCTTGATGAAGATAGGGAGCGATATGCCAACGATTTTATCGCAGAGGCCCAACTGCTGCTTCTGGGCCGCTCGCAGCCAACATTGCGAACATCAGGGAGCGGGTCGCACGCCCAGGGCCCCTCGTCTACCGCGTGCGCTGGCTCTACCGGGCCCATTACTCCGATGCCTCAACCTCGCCACAGTATCTACGAGCTTGACGTGCGGTCACGGGCGTCATCCTACCAGTGCGCATGGAATGTACCGGTCCCCGTCATGCTGCGGATTCTGCAGCAGGTTGACTGCCTCGAGGACCTCTTCTCGGTGGCCCGAGTTAATCGTGTGGCATACAAGACCTTCAAAGCACACGAGTTGCCCCTTATCCAGAGAACGTTGTGGAAGGTATCCCCGCCGGCGTGGGAGCTTCGACAGGTCAGCGAAGTTGCCATTCCATATACTAAAAATGGTCCGGATGGCTCACCGCTGGCGGCGAGTCTCTACCTGCGGCACTACGCGCGGGACCTGGAAACCCTCGTCCGAATCAAGATCCTAATTTGGTGCTCTTGCCGGGCCGTTGTACGAGAAGAGATGATGGAGGCCCTGTGCAATACGGGCAGCGAACGGGGTGCCGCGGTTGAGGATGCCATCTGGCGCGTATGGACGTTCTGTCACCTCTTTGGGAGCCGAAAGGGCCGGGAGTGCGACCTTACCGGACAGGTTCGGTGGCTTCGCGGGCAGACGTGCAGTTCTGTACTACCGCAGGTCTGCTGCACCAGCCCTGACCCGAGCGACTTCAACACCGTGCTCTTCACGCCTCCAGATGGGTTCGCGCACGGCAACCAAGGCCCACTCTCGGAGGAGCAGCTGTGCGATATGCTCGAGGTATGGACGGCCATGGCTACTTTGCTAGATTTCCTACGGGTGCAGACGCCCCATGCGCGCCGGTATGGTGTGTTTAACAATACCGGTATTACTCCAGGAAACAAGCAGCAAGAAGAGTTCATGCTAAGTAGGTTCCCTCTGGTCTAATTGATTCGCCCCCTAACCCATCTAGTATGGGGAACACTGACTTACGCATTGTATAGATGCCTGGCTCGACTTTATTCTTACCCTTGGACCGGCCGCAGTCCTGGAGCTGGCGCAATCTGGGCGCAGGTTCGGTCCCGGAACAGCCTTCGCTCATGCGAACTCAAATGGATGGACGCATTGGAACCCGCCGCCGTTCAACTCTGGAAGTCCAGACTCGGGGTTTCTGGCCGCAGCTGTCAAGGCTGTCAGCAAACCGGTGTAATCCTACTTGGCGTGACTTCAGCCACATAGTGAGCACCGAAATACGCTTGCCGTTATTCCGGCCATACATACAAGTATACATGGTAGCATCATGGTCTACACGTTATTTAGGGGTTGATTACGGGGTGTTGCAGATATTGAATTGTAAATTTCTCTCATCTGTTCGAAATTGTTCTCTTCCTTTTCTTAAGAGAATTTGCTCGTCATGCTGTTTTCCTTGGGGAATATTCAGACAACTAGTACGTACCGCAGTTGAACTATGCTCCTAATTCACAACATTATCATCTCCCTTCAAGTAAAGGAGTCATCATGTAATGAAGCTCTGTTGATTCACTTTTTCTATCATGAAGATGAGGCAGGCTAATACAATATCGTGGACGTCCGCGGGGAACGAGGTTCCAATACTTCAATTGATTTCGGCGCAGCATTAGGCCAGAGCTTATGAAGCTTATAACATCAACTCTTTCTCCACCTCTCTTTTTCGGCCCCATTCTCATTTCCATCCGTCCCACTGCGATCTCTTATTCACTTTAGCGTGCAAACACGCCTATTAGTTGACGTAGCAATCGAAGTTACATGACTCGAAGGTAGTGCCTACAATCACTGGGACCGGCGTTTCCGCCATTTGAAGATAAAGATGAGGTACGTCGCCAGCACCGCCATGGTGTAGTTGAACATGATGAATCCAATGAAGATGCCGACGTTGTTGCCACGTTGTGAATAGCTCATGTCATATTGCTTGACCTATTTGTTTGAAAGAAAAAATTGTAAGCTTTTGTTTACTGAAAGGATAGTGAATCGAGAAAGAGACACTAACATATTCATCACCATCGGCAAAGGCACAGTACTCGCACAGGCCTGTTGCATTAGGATCAACCAGATAGCCCGTGGAATTAGCCAGGCCAAAGAATTCGGCCGTGTAGGAGGCACATGTTTCCCCAGCGGGGGCCCGGAAAGTAGTGAGCTCGGGGTTGCGACAAGTGATTTGGAGAGCATGCATGGCGTTGGTACCAATACCCTCGATGAAGTAGAATAAGGGGGAAATATTGTAGAACCAGCGCCATCCGCGCGGAGTCAGAGGCGGGGGCGAGAGGGGCCCGTTGAAGGTATTGACAACCAGCCAGACAAACCCCGTCGCCACCTGTGCGGCGAGAACGGTAGGGAAGAGGGACGCAGTCAGTTGAGCGAGACTCGCGACAAACAATGAGTAGAGCTCGTACATGAGGAAGGCGTACCCCGCGCGGGTCGACACGGTGAGGTACCCGACCATGTAGTACCAGAGAAGCCAATAGATTAGCCCGCCCAGGAGGGTGAACGGAATTTCCACGAGCAACGCGCTGATGGTGAAGATGCTCCAGTGATACACGCGCGACTCATTCTCCCGCGCCAGGAATTGGTCGCGCAGGAGGATGAAGCGAGGTTCGATCTGGAGACTCAGTACGGGGCCCGTGATCACACCGACGAAGATCGAAAACATTCGTCCGCGGGAGTCGGTCAGGTCGTTGGACAGCTGAAGAAATGTGAGGCCGTTCATCAATCCCATCCAGATGTTGAGCTGGATCTTGCCTAACACGTAGTCGGAGTCGCGCCAGTAATTTGTGAAAGCGCGTTGCGTGACCACGCGGAGCTGATCGAGATAAGAGGCCGCATATGTCCGATCAGATTCCGACGATGGAGACTCTTTGGCTTCCTGTCCCTGGAGCAATTTCTGAAGCTGCTCTTGCATGGCACCATACTCAGGCGACTGCCGCCAAGTCTATTTCGGCCAGGTCAGACTCGAGTAAGTGTGATATAACAACATCGATAGGGGAAGAGAAGGGTGTGTGCTGAGCACAGCATACCTCAAACCAGTCCGCCTCAGGCTCGCCGCTAACTGCCAAAAGGTAATCGGCCGGATTTTCGGTCTCTCCGCAGCGCCGCGTATACCGAGCAAAGTAATCCAGGATCTTTTGGCACCGAGAACCCAACGGACCGAAGTAAACTGTCTTTCCGCCGGGCACTAACAAAAGCAAGTTGTCAAACTGTTCAATCATCTGAGCAGAGGGTTGATGAATGGTGCAGAGGATGGTCTGCCCCGCGTCGGATAGCCTGCGCATTAGCTGCACGATGGAGAGGGCAGAATTACCATCCAAGCCGGACGTGGGCTCGTCGAGAAACAGAACAATGTCCGGCTTCGCAGCTAGTTCGACTCCGATGCTGACCCGCTTGCGCTGCTCGAGATTCAATCCCGCCCCTGGCACTCCGATGATGGCCTCGGCGATATCCTCCATCTCTAAGAGTTGTATCAGCATTTCCACGTGACCCATCTTCTCGTCCCAGGAAACTGTTGCCGGACGACGGAGACGTGCACTGAGCTGGAGAGCTTCTCGCACCGTGGATGATGCCAGGTGGATATCGTTTTGGTGGACAAATCCCGTACGCCGTCCCATTGATGCCGGAAGAGTCTGCCCGTTCAGATAGAGCCCTCCAGATAAGTGCCCAATCTGGATTCGCTGGGCGAGGGTATCAAGCAGTGTAGTCTGTACAAACACCAGCTCAGTCAGCTTGGAGGCTCTATAGGTACACAAAGGCCGGATCATTTTGCAGATGACTTACCTTGCCAGCACCAGACATGCCCATTAACGCAGTCATTTTTCCAGGCCGAAGCCACCCTATGAAAAAGAGAAATGGGTGAGACGCATTCTCCCTCCGAACACTAACTCAGGGCGGCCTTACCTGAAACCTCGTGAAGCAAACATTTGTCATCGTCAAGCTGGAGTGATAGATCCTGCCATGTAAACACACTTTGAGTGGTCTCTAGACGGCCGATCGCTGCCACATCGTGGTTGGAGCTAGGCTTGGACTCCTTTGTCTCAGTGACAAGTGCGGGTTCCTCAATGTCTGCGGAGCGCGAGGGCGATGCTTTCACCCAGGAGGGTAGCCTCCGGTAAAAGATCGTTGACATATGTTCAGCTGCATGGCGGAATCGTTCCATTCCAATCCTACATGTACCGATAAAATCAGCGTCTGTCAGGTTCACCTATACGTATGCCGAGAAAGGAAGAGACGCACATTACAACAACCGAAAAGAATACGAAAAAGACAGCGTTAATCCCGACATTCCGCCACAAGTGCATGTGCTCGAACCCATACTCGGCCATCAAATAGAGCCTCCCGGAAAGACTCAATTCACCAGCAACGGACCCAGACACTGCACAAGCCTGATAACTGGTCTCATTGTATGCGGCTCCGGGAACGATGTCCTGAGTGCTGCACTGATAGGAACTAGTTCCAATCTCATTGAGAGAAATAGACTCGAAGATATAGTACATCGGCTGGTTTTAGAAGGTTAGACGGTTTGCAAATTCTTCTCACACATGCATTCTGCACCTCTTGTTCAAACTTACATCCAAATAGCGGATCCAAAAAAGCCAAACCTTCATGCCTGGGGGAGTGATGTAAAAGCCCGTATAGATAATGAAGACATTTAGCAAAAGCCCGACGGGGAGAATGGCTCGAGTGATGGAGTTGGTGAACACGGCAATGGCCCGGAACATGACGCTCAGTGCCATTAGGCCCATATAGAGGCAGACCAGCCATGTGAAGAAATGCCCCGCTGTGCGCTGGAAATCAATCATCCAGTATATGGGGAGAGAATACAGGATGAAGATAAATTTCCAGGGTACGTCCGCCAGGATCTGGCCGAGCGCGTAGGCGCCGGGACGGTAGAACCGCAAAGCCTTCTGCTTGAGCAAGATTGGGCGCTGGACAAATGTATTTCCAAACTCAGCGGAAGCCTGTAAACCCATGATCAAGACGCAGAAGAAGAGGGCCGAGGCGCGCGTGTAGAGCCCTTGCGTCACGGGTCTCTGGTTGCGGAACAGGGTCCCTAAAAGCAGAGCCTGCACAATTGTTCCGGCTGCCTCGGCGATCCAGGCGGCCCGGTCGGTCAAAAAGATCTGATAGTGGCGGACTGTACATTCATACACCTGACGGTAAAGCGGCAGAGCGTACCCTGACGCCTTTAATTTGCCGACTGCTGTGGATGGCGGCGGCTTTGCGGCCTCACTCACTGTCTGCAGGTAGAAGCTGCTCTCCCTGAACCGGGTCTCAAAGTCAGCCGGGTGAATTGGCACCGGCCGGTCAAGGTTTGTTTGAAGGCTCCGTCCTTCCGGGGTTCCAGACATGGATGCGAGAAAATCCGAGATCGAAATCCTTGGAGAGCAGTAAAACCCAAGGGACTCGAAGTAAGCTTTGGCTGAATTGGCCGGGCCGTAGTACGCGACATGACCTTCATTCAAGACCAGGACCTTATCGAAGAGTGCAACTGCCGCATCGCTAGCTTGATAAAGAGACATCGCGGTCATACATCCACTACGCGTGCTGTATTTACGCATGGTAGTCAAAAAGCGAATGGCGGTTGATGAGTCCAGCCCTCGCGTAGGATTATCAAAGCAAAACAAACTAGGCGATGGTAAGGTTAGCGAATCCCTTCGCGCTCTCACGAAGGCTTAGGAGGTTATTCACCTTGCACGGGTACACAGCGCCTCAGCAAGAGACACCCGACGACGCTGACCGCCGCTCACTCCACGAATATGGTCACTCCCGATGCGGACATGTGCTGCATGATCCAGTCCCATGAGTTCAAGCACAGTTTGTAGGTCTTGTTGGAGGTGTTGGCCGCGATTAGGATCAGAGATTGAACGGCGAGTATTGAGAGCAAACTTAACCGTGGTGCTGACGGATAATGTTGGAAAATGGATGTCGTCCTCTCCTGTAATGTATCCATCCACCGTTTTAGCAATTTGACCCTAATTCGATGGATGGTAGAGGAGTTCTCTTACCCACAAAGGCCACTTGGTTGGCTCTGGCCTGGTTGACAGTGCCCGCATCCATCGACCCATACCAGAAATCGCCCTCCATCGCCATATACTCATCCCTTATGTTCGCCAAGGCTTTCAAAACGGTGGTGCATCCACTGCCGGGGCGGCCAACGACCATCAACATCTCCCCCTGTCGAATCGTACCAGTCAGCCGCTGGAGGATCGCCCGAGATGGAGGAGGCTTCCTCGAGAACCAGCTCGCTGGGTTGATGAGCTTCGATAGCCGTTGCAACGTTCCGGGGACGTCATGCATCCGTTGGTGCTGGTCAAGTTAGTGGCGCAGCACATCATGGGAGATACGTGTATAGGAAAGCAAACCCCAGCTCCGGCTCCTATGACAGACAGATCCTTGAAGATGATGTCACCCAAACGTTCCGATTCTGTGGTAGTCTGTCGTTTAAGAAGATCGTCAACCAATCGATCGACCTCTGCATCTTGATGCGTCTCTTCGCTGGAGTCGTACTCCTTGGTGTCAGTCGAGGACTCCATGCTGCGGATTGACCTTCGCAGAATCTAGATTGCGAGAGTCGGTTGCTGAGCATCGCGAGCTATTGAGACGACCTTTAAAAGAAGTGTCCAAGCATCCTATCAACGGCATTCATATCGGGTTGCCGAATGGGGTAATGGTTACCCCTTGTAGTTAGGCTCGGGGAGGCTTGCGACGGGCTCCACCCCTGGTGGAGTCGCGGATAACATCGAGGGGCAGAGATAAATAGCAGAAGCGACGCAGGAGGAGAAAAGGGAAAGATTCGGCCTCGCCAATATTGTTCAAGAAACATCGATCACAATTCCTCCAAGCGCCATGTCTGATTCCCAGATTGATCCTGATCAGTTCACCCGCGCGGGGTCTATCACCAAGGACTACTACCGCGATGTCTATCCCACCATTGATCCCACACGGTCAGAGCTCTCCCAGACGGGCAAAGTGACCATTGTCACGGGAGCCGGAAAGGGAATTGGACGAGTAAGAATCAACTCTATTCTACAGCCGAAGGAAATACAGCTGACGTTCACGATTCTGCACAGGCCATTGCACGAGCTCACGCACAGTCTGGGGTCAAGGGGCTGGTCCTCATTACCCAATCTACTCAGTCAGCCAAAGAGACGAAAGCTATTGTGGAAGCTGAATTCCCCGCCGTCGACGTGCTGGCCTTGCCTACAGATATCACCGACGAAACGGCACTGGCACAGACTTTCGCGACTATCAAGGAGAAGTTCGGAACCGCGGTACACACTCTGGTCAACAATGCCGGCGTCTTTGCTTCGGTGGGGCCCGTGGCCGACTCCGACTCCACCACGTGGTGGAAGGACTTTGAGGTCACGTCCGGGGGACATATCTGATCACAGCGGCATACTTGCGTTTGATTGCGGATGAGGCCGCGGATTTTCAGCCCACCATCGTGAACTTCATCAGCACGATTGCCCTGACGCCCCCGGGACTGAGCAGCTACTTCATCAGTAAGCTTGGTGTGGCCAAATTCACCGAGTTTATTGCAGCGGAAAACCCCCGGGTGGCGGCCTACAGTCTCTCTCCGGGTATCGTCCTCACGAGCATGACGCTGGATGGGTTTAAGCCATTTGCCAAGGACACACGTAAGTTCCAAGACCACTTCTCTGTTACATGAAGCTGCCTGTGGGATCTTGCAGATTATGTTCTAATGCTTGATATAGCGGAGCTACCCAGCGCCGTGACCGTGTACCTGGCAGCGAAACGTCCACAATACCTCAATGGACGCCACCTCTCCGCCAATTGGGATTTGGCAGAGCTCGAAGCTCGACAATCTGAGTTTTCCTCGTCGGAGAAGCTGACAGTTGGTCAATTTATCTGACCGGGGACTTTCTTGTCCCGTTCCTTCACAGTGGTTTTGCTGCCTTTTCATCGGTGGAGCTTGTCGGGTAACCCGATTTCATGTATATAATTTATGACAGGCCATAGATTTTAGATTCAGAGAATAAAGCTCTCAAGGCTGTACGAATTACACGCATAATGCTGAGAATAATTGCCAGGAAAAGTAGTTATGAGGTGAAAAAGTCAGTACCTAGTGGGATCTGAGGCACATCCATGAGCATATCGTTGATTTCGTGGCAGTACCCATACCAAATATTGGGGTCCACCGTATCTGCACAGGACCACAACGCATCATCCTCGGATGTGAACGCGGGAGGGTGCTGTTGCTGCTGCTTCTCGGGTTCGACAGGATCCAAGGTTTGGACGTCCCGACCATCAGTCCGATCATTGGGGGCTGACGACTGCGAACTCAGCAACTCCATGAGTGCACTGACCCGCCCCAGCAAATATCGTGTCAGGTAAGCCGCTCGTGATGCAATCGGGTTGACTGGACCTGCTGCCTCGAAGATCTGCAGGGATTGCTCGACATGCTGCTGGGCCAGAGGGAACCAGTAGCACAAGGGGTAGGCCAGCATAAATCCAATGAGGGTGAGAACGGCGTTCCACAGATATTGGTAGACCTCAGAACAGCCATAAAGGATGTCGTGATAGAGCATCCGAAGACGGATGAGATCCGTGGCGGTGAGCGCATGTTGGATTGCCGTGGTGGCGTGTACATCGGCTTGTGGACTCCGTTGCGGAACCAAGCCGCGGCTCGGAAACTGGATGAAGGAATGATGAACCCACAGGACAATATCATGATACTGAAGCTCCAGGAGGGTTCGTTGTAGGATCACCGCTGGGGCCAGGTGAAATGAAAGCCTTGCATCGTGATCGTGCTTTAGCCCATCCTCGGTAGCTGTCACTGCATCTGGTTGGTAAGCTCCACAGGCCAGGGTCATATTGGGAAACAGTTTTGCTTCTCGGATCCGATCTCTCCATTGATATAGGTGCTGGATTTCCCGCGACAAATGGTGCGCATAGTGCTCAATCTTGGTGACCGAGTCGACTGTTCCTGATACCGCATGCAAGTGATCCTCCAGGGACTTTGCCACTTGTCTTGCCGTCACGGTCAGTGAGGTCGACGCCGAGTAGTAACTGAGGTCTGGGGCGGCCACCGAGGACTCTGGTGTCGGATTCGGCACAGTGATTGTCCTGTCATTCAAGGAGATCGCCATTGGCTTTCCCAGCAGCCGGGAACAATGGAAATCGAGGTGAACCAACTTCCACCAGATTCGCTGGCGTGTTTCCGCCTCTGGTGGCGGCAGATGTGTTCTCGGGAGGCGCTGTAGATCGAGGGACTGTGTGAGTCGCATGGCTACCCCCATAATATTATATGCCGCCTGATGTTCTCCCGAGTTCAGCAGGAAGGCAGCCATGAAGAGATGCCGCTGCACATCTGCCACGGTCGGCTCTGCGTAAGTGATATAGGCATTGTTGGTAGCGAGTGCTTGTTGGAATAAGGTCACGAACAGTTTCGCTACCAGAGGGCTTTGGGAGGGATTCTCCCCATGGTCGGATGCCACCATGTCCTTCTGAATGCCCAGCAAGCGGTTATGAAGCCCAGCATGATAGATCGATTGCAAACAGTAGGCCATTGCAGCCTGTCGCAACGGCTCGGAGCGTCCATCCGACTTTGCCGCCAAGTCCTCCGAACTGACGATCGGCATCAGGAAATGATATCGAGTCCAGAAAATATCAAACACGGTTTCCTGAAGCTCCTTGAGGCTGTCCGGGGTTAGCTGCGCAAGAACTGGCTCTACTCTCCTCAGCAAATCTCGTGACGAACACGGAACGTCTGTAGGGGCTGCTTCAATGGGTTGAGGAGATGGTCGGGTCGACATCTGGGACACCACGGAGCAGAAACTATTCACGCGCGAGATGAAGCTCGCGAATGAGTCCAAGGGCTGCGAAAGAGGAGCGACGGCAGCATGATGGATCGATGGAGTCCGCGGCGGACTTCCTCGGGGCCTGCCTTGCTGGCCCAGGACCACCGGATTCGGGGCGCAGGGAGGTGCAGGCTGGGCGTGCGGGAAACTGGATGGGGCTGACGGCTGCAACTCCCGATTTCCAGATGAGGAGGGGCGGGGGTGTGAATTCGGATGTACATGTGAGTATGAATGCTGCAAAGGCTTGTTGCATGGCACCTTGTTGGTAACACACTGGCCACAGGGTGATCTGCCATCACAGCGGACCCGATGCTGGCGGCAGAAGTCGCATGCCCGACGCACTTTTCTCCGCTTGGCCAGTGGCGCAGACCGTATTGACACGAAATTGTAAAGCATTCCGAGTGCGTGGGGGATCAGTGGTGATAGCTAGACCCAGCGGACGGCACGAGGGAGTTCAATTCTGGAATTGAGGGTCATCTGGAGGTGGTGGAGGTGAGGTGCCGTGAAGTAGTAGTAGTAACAACGGCGGACTCTGTACTAAGGACGGATCAGACCAATCACTGACCTCACCTGACGCGGATCCCGGGTGGATTCCTGGCCAATAGGAAAATGCGGAGAGTCCAGCCAATCCGAGTCGCTGGAAGGACGACAGCCGCTGTCGGGGTATTTCCGCCAACGTGATGGAAAGCTCCCGCGAATTTCCCTTCCCCATTAGGTATAGCTCCGGACAAACCCGACGGGTGGCGTCTTCCCTTCTGCTTACACATGAGTTACGTGAGATGTGCCGGCGATCTCGCTTCCTTCCGCTGCCCCTTTTGATCCGAGTAGTTCCCACTAGGAATTGGTTCTAGGCGTTGCATATCCTTATCTGTCTAGGTATATTCACCTATACTTTGCGAGGTGTCTCCACTTGATCGAGACCGGCAAAACTTCAAGAGCTTTTGTAGGTCGGGGTTCTACCCGAATGTAGCAATCCCAATATATATATCTTGGAATTGGTGCGTACGAGATTGTATCCCTACAAGGATCGATCACATCTGGGTCAACGTGGGATTGGAACACCACAGTTGGACGTTCCACAGACCATGGGAACGTCATAGGGAAGTACAGCATACGTGGGGATTGCGAGACCGCTGTGCAGGTACCTACCGAACCTACTGGCGCACTAGCATACTACGTTCCATTAGGTATCGGGAGCGTTGACTTGAACTGGGATTCTTTTAGCATTTGACGTAGCTAGTCCACTAGCTTGGGATGAGGTTTGACGAATCGATCGGTGCCCCCTCCATCCCCCCACGTCCGCGCGCAGTCCTCCAGCTGCGCCCAATCGAGGGCCGAGGAGAACGAGCGCCCCACTAGCCGTCGTGTGAAGAAAGAAGACTCCATCTTCTTCACGGCGTACTCCCAGTCCGTGGTATACTCCTTGAAGAACGGTCGGTAGCCCAGCAGACCTCCAATCCAACGCCCCACAATGATTCCACCCCAGTACCCGATCGTCTTTCGCAGGCAATTCGGTACCCAGGCTGGGGGCAGGAGATACGCATCCCCCGCATCATATGTCTATCCACGCAGACCGTTAACTTGCTGTCGGTGCGAGGAAGGAGTAGCAGTTGGGGGTGGGGGGTGATGAATGAGGTCTCAATCCATTCCAAAAACAAAACCCAAAGAAGAAGACAAAGAGGACATACGCAGAGTAATTGGATGAAATCCATCTTGCCCTCGTGCACCAGGTAATCATGCCACAAGCCGTACCAGTTCTCGAAGAACACTCGATCAAGTTGATAGTCCAGACCGGGATCGGAGGCACTGAGGATAATCACCATGTCTTCCGTGCTGTCGGGGGCGACGTAGAACCGGTGGATGGACCCGGCCCGGCCCTGGACCTCCCCATCGGCGGGCGTCAGAATGCGAGTCTGACCATCGACTTCGAGGCACATGCGTCCTTGTTCGACTCGGAAATACTCGTTTTGGAAGGGGTGGAAGTGGAGGGGAGGGCCGGAAGGGTGATTCAGCGCTGCATTGATCCGTTCATAGTCCGGGTCCCCTTCATCAATGGGAGGCTTCAGGCTGTACTTTTGACGGAAGCAGAAGCACCGACCGGCGGGGGTTCCAGGAATTCGGTAACCAAAGCACCTCCAAACCTAGCAGGGGAGAAGTTAATGCATGTCCGGGAACCCGGATGAGGTGGGTGGTGGGAGGAGGCAAAGCAATAACCCACTTGACAACAGGGTTGCTCCCGGCAGAGACATGGTATGGGATCAGAGGAGGCATCGCGAGAACACAAGCGCAAACGAGGATATCCGGGACCACTCGCGGGAATCTGGGTCTCTTCTCTCTACCATTGACTACATCCTTCGGACGAGACAGGTTAAATACTTCACGGGTGCGCCGAAGTCGAGGTAAATTGGTCCTTTCGTTTCGATCGCTTGGCAAGAATAGGATGGCAAGAATCGGATGCAACCATCATCCTAGTGGCTCGAGATAATATGCATTTGTCCTGGGGCTAGGAATAGTCCGTCTCGTTAGCTAGCAGATGGACGGGAGGCCTCGAGACTCACGGTCGATATATCGGCAAATCGGACCCTTGGGTCTTGGATATTTGCCGACAATAGAAGTCTTATGAAGAATAGAGAGTTGGGGGCGGTCATTCTGCAACACTGTCTGGATTTGCATACTTCCATTAGCCTCATATTCGTGATGCTGAGGGACCGAAGCAACGCCAATCAGATGTTCCGGAACGGTAGCTCGCTACTAGTCCATCATTGCATATACACCTATACTATAGTAGGTATTTAGACCGGCTCAGGGTTTCAGCTGCCAGCCATAGTAATTAGGGTTTACCTTGTGGGGCGCCCTTTTCTGGTCCGTCCGCGAGCCGTCCCTAAGAAATTTCGCTTAGCCGTTCAATAACGTTAGGGAAAGTAGAATCGGCAGTTGACGAATTCCGAACCTATCATGAACATTGAACCCTCGTCGGCCGAGATTGCAAACCCTATCCATATCCCATCGTCGATATCAATGGTAACTATGCCTGAGGGCACACTCTCTGGATAACGTCGGCTATCTCGGCTTAGTTGACGCTAGACATCCTTTGCGGCCACTACCACATACAGCTCCGGGAGTGAGAAATTGCCGACGAGATCAAAAGTTCAGAGGGGAAGGAGCCAAGGAAAACAAGGCAATAGGAAAGAAAAGCTGGTGGGAAGCGGGTTTGCAGGTTCAACTAAGAATATGAGTATTAGTATATAAGATTCTTGTCCGCGGGCTTGAATTTGAAAAAAATGTAGATAGCCTATTTCTCTGCATCAATTCTTCCATCAGCCCCACAGGTCTGGGTTAACAGTCTTTGTTATCAATCATACACTCCTTTGATTGGCGCCATGATTGTACCTCAAGCGAAGACAACTCTTGAAGTTGTCATTGTTGGGTAAGATACCATCTGCTCCCTTGATTCTGGTTCTTGTATGGACTCATATTTTATACGAAACCCAGAGCCGGTGCGTCTCTTCATATCTCATAAGCCAAATGCCTTCTGATATAGAGACCAGGGATTGGTGGTATGGCGGCAGCGTTGGCCTTGGGCTTGCGAGGTCACCATGTTACTATCCTGGAATCAGCCCCAAAAGTGTGTGCCCCTCGCTGCAACTGATGATGTGATCAGAAAATGTTGGTCATAGAACTAATCATCATCATGCTTGGCTTCTAGTTGATGGAAGTTGGTGCCGGAATTCAAGCATCGCCTAATATGCTACGTCTTTTTGATCGTAAGTCTCTTTCGCGTATGTATCTTGAGTACATTATGAGGCTAAACCTTTCCCCTCTTGACTGGGGCGGTTCCCACTAGAATGGGGAGTATCTTCCATGGTACATGCTAAGGATATCGCACTCGAGAACATTATTATTCGCCGCTGGAAGGATGGTGGCGTCCTGAGCACAATGCCTGTTAATAAGGCTTACGGGCAGCAGACGGTGGTGCATCGGGCCGATCTGCATAACGCGCTCATCACCAAGGCTCTGGCGCTGGAGAATGTGCAGTTGAAGGTAAACTCCCGTGTCACCGGCATTAAGTCCTACCAACCAGCTGCCGTCACGCTCATGGATGATACAGTGGTAACGGGTGACGTGGTGGTGGCAGCCGACGGGATCAAATCGGTGCTCCGCGGGGGGATGCTGGGGCCATTGGCGATGCAGCCCATTCCAACGGGGGATGCAGCCTATCGCATCATGCTACCACGAGAGATGATGGAGCAGGACCCGGAGTTGAAAGCCTTGCTAGACAATCCCAGTGCTACTCGCTGGATTGGGCCACATCGCCATATCATCGCGTATCCTGTGCGCAACCATGAGCTGTTTAATATTGTCTTGCTTCATCCAGATGACCATGGAGCGGAAGAGTCCTGGACTACGACAGCGTCCAAGCAGAGTATGTTGCGTCATTATCATGGCTGGGACACAACGGTCCTGAAGCTCCTCGATCTTGTGAAAGAAGATGAGGTCCTAGAGTGGAAGCTGTGCAGCTACCCAAGCCTAAATTCGTGGACGAAAGGCCATGTCGCGCTGCTTGGGGATGCTTGTCATCCGATGCTGTAAGTCGTGGAGCACCTACCCTTTCTCTGCTCACTATGTACAGCAAGAATATGAAATCTAACCGGGTGCCAGACCATATGTTGCGCAAGGTGCCGCTCAAGCTGTTGAGGATGCGGCCGCCTTGGCTATTCTCTTATCTGTTATACCCTCTCGGCATGCCATTCCTGAGGCTCTTCGTGTCTATGAGAAGTCACGTAAGCCACGCGCGGAGGCGATCCAGCAGTCGGGAATGGCCAACCGTACCATTTTACATCTGCCCGATGGTCCCGAACAAGAGGCTCGCGATGAACAGTTCCTTGCAAGCAAGAAGAGTGCAGCCAACCCAGACAAATGGGCCGATGCAGAAACTCAGAAGCGTTTGTGGGGATGGAATGCAGAGGAACACGCTTTGGCAACGTGGTCAGAGAACACGAGGCCAGTGTATCTCGAATCATCCCTTTAAGGGAAGAGAGGGGGCCAATCGCACTGAACTTTTACTATAGCTTCAGTGTCAAATTAGCGTTTTTTATAGACATTGAATTTTACGTGAATTATATATATACATCAGTTAATACAAGTTTCTAAAAATAGGTAGATCAGCTCTAACTTCATTTTCTGGAAACCTGGAGCAAACATGGTGGATATATATATGCTGATGACTTTTGGACATGGGTATAAGATTTGGACCCGAAACTCACCTTTAAAATGTATAATCCATGTGTTGTATAACTCTGCATAGAAATACGAAGACCTCCCCAATCTAGGCTATCTATATATGATATGCAGCAGAACTGGCTCTGATGGGGTCTAATGGGTCCCAAAATGGGGTTTGCCGCAGTCCACTTCACTCTCAACCGTTCTCTGCCTTCCTTCGCTTTCCTAATAACACAACTGCCAAGAAAAGCTTTGATGCGGGTAATTCGCCATCTTGAGGGGCAAAGGGATAGTAAGTAACAATTGCACAAATAGTTAAGAAGCGAGTAAACTCCACCAAAGCTCGATTATATGACCGCCATTGGTCCGGTTACCACCCAACAGTCTGGATCTCGAGGGTGTGGTCTCTTCACTTCCAAGGAGATCAGAGGTGAAGATCTACTGGCATTTGAAAAGGTATTCGTATATGCTTTCGCCGATGTAGAAAGGTAGGACAATTGTCGCTCTATTCTGAGAATGTACGATGCGGACACCGGCTGGGCCATGGTCACTCCTGCAATTTTAATGCCCATCATTCGATTACTTTCGATATGTCTATCCTCCGAGCTACGGAGGATATGCTAGCGGGCACTGAGGCTCTCATCGCATATACCTCGTATGATGATACTAAGGATGGATGCCTTCAAGGATTCGATAATTGGGGTTTTACATGCGATTACCGCATTTGCCCCTCGGTCAAACAGACCGACAGGGCGGTTCTAGCCAATAGAAAGGATTAATAGCCACTTTGAACACTCTGAATAGAGTTGCCCTTCGCTTCCGTCTGGATAAGGCCAAGGCGACAGCTAGAGAGCTCGAAAGAACGTATTCGACAGTTAAGCCTGGATCCGAGGATTTCCGTCTGAGCCTGGGCAAATTAAACACATCCTTACAATGATGAACATGTTCACACTGGGACCTAACCACAAGGCAATCCAAAATCCATTGAGCGTCCCGGAGGGTATAGGATTCATCATCAAAGGAGGCCAAGCAAGAGGCATAACCATGATTGTTCGGCAATGGGGCTATACGGAACATAATATAGTATATTAGTAGACAAGCCTCGCCGGCTAATACAAGGTTATCAAATCGGGCCTCTAATCGACTGCAATAGAATATGAGAACACCTCCTATCAAATCTGGGCTGGACGGCGCGAGACATTTCCGGAGTTTTGGAAGGTTGGCGAGTTCAGAATCAAACATCCTGACTGGTGATAGGCTACGAGCTAGGGTGTATCATGACTGCAGCAAAGCTGTCAGGCATTTGTTGGTTATTACCGATGTTGGATCCATTGTGCAATCAAATGAGCTGCATGAGGTATTTACAGTTTGCGCCGTGTCCGAGAAAGGGTAGAGCATCTGGTATGCAGTCCGCGTGGAAGTAACTGATCCACTACATCTGACAACTTGCGCATCAATGTTACCTTCTTGCCCTGTATTTATCGTCCATCTCTAAGGTATATTGCAAACGACTACGATGGTGCCACATGGTAGCGACTATGAAATGTAATCGGGATAAGAATAAAGAACAGGAAGTAAAATGAACGAAGAGAGAGATCATGCGCCCATTATCAACGATTTCCCAACTGGGGGATCGCTCGGTTTGTTCAGCCTTGCCTGGAAATAATCTATCATAATGCCATAGTCGTGTTCGGTAAACGTGTGACATTGTTGCTGCCTAGGGAGCGTGTGTTGATTCTTTGTCAAGGGCTGTCCATATGGTAGACGTATGAAGGACACAATTGCCGGAAGGCGCGTAAAGCGAGCGTGGAGAACAAGGGGCCTCGCCAGTTAATCTGCGGTGGCTTGTATATGTCTTTAAGTTGTCTCGGAACATGACATAGCTCTACCTGGTTGACCATGGGGCACTGCAAGAGGATCAATGTCTATCAGGTCGGAGAACCGAAATAGTGTGGTCGTTTTGACTCACCAGTGAGTCGCTCTCTACGCAAGAATGGTGTTTAAAAACGGCAACACAGTGGTTCCATACTGTCTATGGCTCGAGCTTCCTTAAGGGAAACCGCCACTGGCGTAGTCGCTGGTCGCCCGACAGATAGTAATTCATCACCCCTTGGCAATCCATCCTCAGATACGTCGACATGCGTAATCAGCTTCACACGGCCAGACTCGGGGATCACTACGATTGCCTTGTACGCATCGCTCGCTTGCACGATCGTCTCAGCTTGCATTTCAATGTCGTGGACTGCTCGCCCGATGCTGGCAAATGCAACCGAGTCGGACGGACCCTCTCGATGTGGCCATGCCTCAAGAAGCCGTAAACCGTGTAGTCTGGTCTCAGCATGTCGGCATTTCAAGAACACCCAGATCAGCGGGTTGATGATCCCGAGGTCGGTGATTAAATGGGGCAGCATATCATCGACATATTCGTCCTTCAGGCTGTTAATGATTTTCTCGACCCACATGTTGATCTCTAAAAACACTGAGAGGTACCGGTCAAAGACCATCTCCGACTTGTCCAAGCACGTGTCAATGACATTGGTCAGTACCACCTCGTGTAGATGGATCATGTCCACACTACTCATTTTGGACGGTGTCAGATAATGCCCAGCTATCGACTCCTGGAACTCGGCCCTGAAGTCACACAGTCGACGGCGGATCCGGCACTGTTCCACTGACATGGCCAGCGTGTCAAATGCGAAGTGCTCGTGAGCAGCACGTTCGCAGTAGGATTGCAATAGCATCAGATCATTGATGATACGCGCTATGACCTGTTTCGCGGCCCAAATCGGATTGATCGTGAAGCTTTGTCGGCTCTGAACGGTTAACGGCCTGGTGGTTGACTGGATCTTCAGCCCAGAATCGGACAGGTCGAAGTTGCCCGCGGTGAGTTCCATGTTCATAAATGCCTCCACTAGCGGTGGTTCCAGGTTGGAAGGGCGGGCCTCGGAGACACGGTTCATATCACAGCATGGGCTGCGCAGGATGTTGAGCCCTTGCTGCAAATGTGAGAAGGCGAGGGCGATGTTCCCTTGCAACAGCTCCAAAGTGATAAAGGCTATGCAACACGTCAGCACAACGAGATGGACCTGCGGATCATGGGATCTAAGGCGTAGGTGTAGCTTGGCGATCGCTTTATTGTATTGACCGAGTGCGAAGCGGTGATAGCGGTCGCGCAGCGTTTGTAAGTTGGCGCCTTTATGCCAAGAGCACTCATGCACCGCGCTCAACGCAATGACTGCATGGCAGATGGCCGGCTCAGCCTGACTCATTTGCAGTACTAATCGCTGCCAGAGCTCTGAATCAAAACATCTTGTCATCATCGGGACGGTCTTCCCCAAGAACAAGGCGAACCCGCGCCGTTCGTCGGAACTCAAATTTGCGACACGGATGGTGGGACTTCGCCCAAGGCTCGATTTTGGTCCGCGCGCAAGCACCAGGGGCAATCGATTCCGGTCGTATCCCTCGCACTTCCGCCCTGTGGAGGTACACCTGAAGCATGCGCCGGGTGTTTCGTCACACTTAACATGTCGGGTCCTACCCTCATCCCGTTCAGTATTTTGCGGTCTTGCGCGCGCCGTGCTGCAGGCAACACTCACCGACAGGTCTGACAGCCTGTTCTGGATCTCTTAGAATATGACCGATGTGGTCCCATGCGTAACTGTCCTCCGATTTGCTGTGTACAGAATGATCTGCACGAGCCTGTGCGGCAGTTGTCCCAGTTTATGCGGCCTTATAACATTCTTCCCGCTGGCCGGTACCGCCGCAAAGCTTAGCCCACTCACGCGTGGGGGCTATAAATGCACATTTTCATTGGCTACGATGGCAAAGCTGGTCGCGAGCCGCGCCTCAATGTCCCGGAACCGTTGCACTAACTTCTAAGCCTCTCTCGCGAGCTTCTGTCTGCATTGTAGAGTCTCAACTCAGATTTTGAATAGCCAGACTAGCGTTTGATAGGGAATGCAATGCCATAGTTAGAGTTTGCTATCGAATGAATACGGTTGATTTCTTTTCTCCTGCCTTGGAATTGTCGATGCCCCCTCTGACTATTCTCAGAAAACTCTGCAGAGCTGTAGAGCCCCAGGAGACACAGGGCCACGTGATGGATATTTACCCTAGTTCAACACACCAACGACTGCTAGTACGAGTACTAGTAAACAGCACGCGATCGGGCCCCAATCAGAAGGAAATATTGCAGCCAATCGGCGACACCCGGGTTGCATTATTGGAAACGTAAAAATCAGATTGTTTTCATACTTTCGTACGGATACGAATTACTGACCAGTCGGTCCCTGGGTGTAATCTTCATTTCGAGATGCAGTGGGTCTTATTTTCAGGTTTCCAACTACTGGATACTCTCAAGACACCAGAGTCTCAGTAGTTAGATATAGGATAGTATCTGATAAACTCCCAGGCCAAAGCCATTCTCATACATGACTCAACCCCTGGGAAAAATCAAAAACCACATCAGGGTCCGCCGCAACCTTGATCGCTTTCAACCGCTCCAACGCATCCCCATAATACTCGCGTCCAAAGTTCGCCAGATGAGGATCAATATAATTCTGATACGAGTGCCATTCACTACCGGGCCTGGGCCGCCTCACGGCACTCGTGATCCCGGTGACCTTATCCACTGCATCCTGATGAGCCGCGGAATCCCCAAAGCCCGGGAAATACGCCGAGTAGATCTGAACCAGGAATAAACTCGTCCGATGGATATACGCCATATCACCACTCGACGTGGGAAGATTAGTCTTTGCACCTGGACCGAGTAAGTCGAAGGACACGTCGGGTTCGGAGCCGTTGGTTTGCCGTGCCGCGCGAAGCCCGTCGAAAATGCGCTGTACCTGGTTTTTGTCATATCCGGGTGTGCCGCTGTCCATGGCAGACTGGGCGTAGTAAGGCAGAGGCGCGTCCGATGCTTCTAAGGGACCCATGAGGTCGGTGAGCGCGGCAACCCAGTTATGGAATGCTTTGATCTTGGATTCGGACCGAACGGGCTTGATGCCTTGCGCGGCAAGCCTTTGTAGGATCTTGTTCATGGCGGTTTCGTATGCGGACCGTTTGCCGAGAAACTGGCCTTGTAAAATGCAGGCGCTGTTCTGGTTGTCGTCTCGGCCCATGAGAAGGACTTCGATCCCTAAGTCGAGAGAAATTCCGTCCGAACTATCGGCGGGAAGTTGACCTAGCTCCTGGACTTGCAAGAGGACCTGGGCACAATCCGGTTCTGGTCCAAAGTAGAGTTCGTAATTGACAACATCGGTCGGGGCCTGTTCCAGTGAAAATGTAAACGCCGTAACCACACCGAAGTTGTTCGATCCTGCACCGCGCAGCGCCCACCAGAGCTCGGCATCGTGTCCCGTAGAGCTAGGGCTCAGTTGCTTGATCTTCCCGCTCACATCGACAAACTCTAATCCCACAACTAAAGCACCCGTTAGAAGCCATCCGGAACCAGATAGAATCCAAGTACTGACTCCGATCAACCAGCCACCCCCATTTTCTAGACGGGAACCCCCATCCCCCGCCCAGGGAATGCCCCGCAACACCAACAGTGGGACAAGTGCCATGAGGCAACGCATAGCCCCTTTTCCCGAGAGCCGTCGCCAACGGACCCAGAGTCTGCCCAAATTGCACAGTCACCACCCTCTTCGCCTCGTCGATGGAGATCCCTTTCATCCGACTCGGGTCGAGAACCACTTGGCCTGAGAAACTATACGCAGCGTAGCTGTGCCCGCCGCCCCGAGGACTGAGCTTCACATTGCCCTTTTCGGCAGCCACGCATTTGACAGTCGCAGCGACATGCTCGGTGGATGCGGGGATGACAATGACCTCTGGATAGGCCTGGTAGTTGGAGTTCTGGGGTTTGGACAGCGACTCATAGGCCTGGTCGGTGGGGTAGACTATCTTCGCGCCCGTTTTACTAAGACATGATTGAAGTGAGGTTGGTAAGAAGGCATTGTATGATGCCAGAGCTGAAACGGTCACGAATTGAGCGGCCGCGAGGCCTACTGCTAGAATTGCCCCGGTTCCCATTCTAAGTCCTAACTTGACAATACAGCAAATGCGTCTTTGACAAGGAATATATAACCCCCTACCCCTCATCTAAAAACTTCAATTGCAAATGTGATTCAGGATCTCACAAACTTGGCGATCCCGCAGTCATGCCGAAAAAGTATTATGGAGTGCATCTAGGCCCTCCAAAATATTTACATCTACGACGGAGTGACTATATGCAATGGCTGCATGCGGTTCGAGACGCCCATTGGTCAGGTTTGAATTACCTGTGTCTGCCAAGGATGTGTCGTGAATACTATTTCGGATATAACCACTAGGATCGTGCCACGCTTGTACTTGATGGATGCAGATACGAGTTTTCCTGCAGTGGGGATTCGGAGCTATCCGATGTTTGTCTTGTGACTTGTAAGTCAGCTAGGAACCAGGGTCTAATTTGATGTAATTGGGTGAGCTGATGTGTGATGGGATCACAGGAGGTAGTAAGATAGGTGCTGCCTCAGAATTGAAATTAGGGCTACTGGCGCAGCCTAGCATAGAACGAATGAAAGACTCCTCAGGGCAGGACAAAGCCTCGCCCACTCCATTAATCGTATCGTGCTTTATAGTCTTCCGACTATTGAATGACTATCCACACCCCAACGTTCCAAAACCATCAGTACCCGGAGCGCAGTATGCCTGACCGGATCACTGCCTTGCACCCCTCACCCGAGTAGATCGTACGCGCCCTTCCCGTTCACGTACGAATGGACGGCGGTGGTGTACTGAGTCCAAGCTTCCGTAGCTAAGCGATCATCAGCTTCTAATCGTGGCAGACGAGATATATTCCCACGTTGCACAGGCGATACCTCATTATGAGGACGAGACTGAGAAACATCCCTTACACTGTAGACTAGCCTGTGTTGGCTGTTGGCCGATTACACCCAGGGTAGTAATAGTCATGCTCAAATAATGTTTCAGAGTGTAACTCTTTGAGTTATGAAAAAAGTCGTGATTTTGGAAATATAGAGTGAATTTATATGCGAGATTTGACCCTATATGTGCCAGTTTCGCCAAGCGAAATCGACAACTTTCGGATCAAGGGGGCTGTTTCGCGTCTTATTTCGCCGTGAAGTTTAAAACGTTTGTTCATCTCCTTTTATATTCTTTTTTTGTCCTCTTTTCTTCAAGAACAGAACAGGAAGGTTGGCCCTTACCATTAGTTGTCAGCCAAGGGCAACTGGGTCAATATTACTACTCATGCTGGGGTTACCTCATGGTAACTCCTCAGGGGGTAAACGATATGACTAGTTCCACATCGGGTATCTAGTACCTTCTTCGGTTGGTGGGCTTGACTTGAAGGTACCTAGTGTTCCATGTGTTTCTACTTCCCGATTATCGGGTTTCTGGCACTTTGTTAAGTGGTTATTTGAAGATGATGTTGAAAACACAGAGCCATTAGGGTTTCCTACGAACTGTATCAGAAGCTGGATGAGTTGTAGAATCGCAGAAAACTGGAGATAATGTTCTGCATTGGTACACAAATGCAGGTTAACGGTGTAGCCGACGAAATTCTGATTCGGCGTCTAGGATCGCCTGCAGAGGTTCGCTCGAAGACAAATTAGCATATGCAGCCCTTGCAATACCCGGATGAGGCAATGTCCACCTGATGGAGTTCATGACGTACGATTAAAATGCTAGATATTATGCGGGGACACCCTTCTCTTGTCACAACGCATGAAGGTCTATCTTCTTCGAACAATGCTGTTGATATGGAGAATTGAAAGGTGTGTTATTAATGCTCAGAATTTGAAGAATATGGAGCAGGGTGGAGAACCAGCGATCAAGCCTTGCTATGTACAAGGTGCAGGAGGGTGCAGGGGCATTTTCGTTTCTGCGTGTTTCCATTGGTGAGTTACTTGCTCGCTTGCTAGAAGAAAAGCTCCAGCTAACCCATACCAGACCTCCAGACCTCTAGGAACTAGTATATACAACAGTCCTGTACTTCAAAGGGATCGCCGTCCGCGATAACGTCCAGCGGGGCACAGTCGAACAATGGTCAGGAGTCCGACTTCAGCATAATCTGACAGCCAATCAGCAGACTTACAGTGAGGCTCATCGGATCTTCTACAGTTAGAACCTGTTCGTGTTCCACTGCAAGGAGGCCATTTCTCTGTTTCTGATCGTGGTCGGGAGCAAAAATGCGTCGCCTTTGCTATCCATTGCATGGAGAACAAAAAGTGACCGGCTGAGCAACAGCATTAACACGATCACATCATAGATCACAAAGTCAACACCACCGGAAGCAATCATTCTATGGAACAATGAAGAATTTCTCAGCAATCATCTATGTATGCGGCCATCGCATGACCTTGGGAGATGATCAGTTAGCAATCGTTCTAGCCCGTCACATCTTTCCCGCGACAAACCTGGGAGGATAGTGTCGTTGACCAAAGGTTCCAAGAGAGCAGGGCGTTCATATTGTCAGGCACGACTTGACCCAACCCAGGAGCTTCTGGTCGAGAGGTTGAACAACATTGATCTCCGCTCTCTTGTATATTCTTGGAATATTTGGATATTCACATCCCCCGGATTCAAGCCGCCAAAATAGCTTGTATGAAGCGATTTGTTCCTTCTGACAGGGTGGGAGTGGTACTAAGAGGCGTCATTCATATGAAAGATAATGCTTTTTCTAGACTTCAATAACTTTTGTAGAGGTTACAGCTAACTCTACCACCAAGAATGTGATATACTTGAGGTTATGCAGCAGAATCGCCTACCCTATGGCGTTATGGACATGCGGTGTTAGTTTTCAGTATTTGTTTCCAAGCTCCCATCTGGGGGATTGGACAGCAATGATTCAATATACGTTAATCATCCAATTGTCAAGGATGGTCATCAGAGGTTTGCCTTAAGATACGTAAATGATATTGGGAAATATGTGGCGGAGATTGTAGCACATCCACAGAGAATCAGTATGTTTTTCGCGTACACGGAAGCCCTCAGTATGAATGAGATAATTCACATCGAGGACACGATAGTTGTAGCCGGCCCTTGAGAGGCCATATAAGTCTATGTCTACATATGCTGCTTGCTGAGGGATGCAGTTTTCATCGCAGAACCTTTACTAACACGAATGGTAACGGGCGTCCGTTGAAAAACGTAGAGATATCACCCAGGCTGGTCGTAAACGACTTGGTGCGAGTCCTGAGGCCGCGCACTGTTCGAGCAATTTTATAGGCACTGCGAATATTAACATGGGACACTATCGTAGTGGATGTGAGACAATACTGCGGAACACGCGGTGTGCCTCGGATATCTGGACTTTTTGAAATTGTACCCCGACCACCCGAGAGTGGACTGGCATAAGGTTCGGTTAGGTGAGGTTAAGGAGGTTGGTCTTTTTGACCTAGTTTAACCGTGGTTAGGTGTATATTTGTTGTTTCGTCCGCAGTTAACCGGGCGGTTAAGCTACTTTTAAGCTTAACCTACCTAAGTTAATAGATTTTATACCCCAAGCTAACTGACCCCGGTTAGGTTATCCCACTCTACCCTGCAGGCAACCCTTGAGGGCCTCTTCCCACAGACCATCGGGAGAAACCTGTCGGGTTGAAATCTGGCATTTAAGTAGGAGAGGGCATGGACTTGCAGATTGTGGTACTGTCTCTGCGGACAGCGACAATTCGTGTTCGGTGACGTTAGTAATGGTCTTTTATTTGTGGCAAGATCGAAGGCTCAGAGTGACAGTATGGCAAAGCAATTCTGCCGATGGTTGTTCCCAACTCTTCTGGGGTAATTAGTTGGTATAACTGGTATCCTTATGATACTCTTCAAATGGAGAACAGAACTACTATTATGGTCTACTGTTGGTGGGAGCAGAGAAAAAAAAGAAAGAAAGGAAGAAAAAGGAAACAGGTAACAGGAAAATACTTGAAAGGTAGATTTATATTCCTTCGTCTGGGCTGTATTTCTGTGGTAGTAGCAGTAGTAATACTAGTGCGAAGGCCCAAGCTTTAGTAGATAACATACTCAACCTGGACCGTCTTGTTGCTAATCTCAATCTCGGTCTCGGTTTCCGTCTCGCTCTTATCTTTCTCCAGCTTGAACTTCGTCTCGACCTCGTACTGGAGGGAGTAAGGACCTGCCTTGGCCTCGTGCTTCGTCTCCTTGCTCGTCTTCTTTTCTGGCTTCTTGCCCTTCGTCCATTCCTTCTCGACCTCGACCTCGCGTTCGATTTCAATCTCGGTCTTGGTCTCAGTCTTGGTGGTCTCGAATCCAACGGGGGCGTCATCCGCCTCCAGCTCGTCGCTGAGCTTCAATTTAGGTGCGCTCTTGTCGACATCGAAGACGATCTTGAAGTCGGTTGTGAGGCCACCGGCCGTGACGGTGTACTTGAGTTCGTCGCCCTGAGTAATCTGGAAGGAGGCCTTGTCGCCCTTGGAGAGGCTCTTCGCGGCGTCGGTCGACGCGCTGATGGTGGACTGGTCTTCGAGGAGACTGATGGTGGCTTCGGTGGTAACCGAGATGGTCACAGGGACTACACACATCGAGCCCGCATGGTTAGTACAACGTCACGGCACTGGTTCATATCGGAGAAGAATCGATCACGGACCCGACGAACGGACATCACCCCCCTCCTGAATTTCCTTGATCTTGGATAGCACATCGAACTTCTCGACGAGAGCCTCGACCTCGCTGTGGAGCTGAGCAATTTCGACCGACATGGTGGATGGGTATACCGGTGTTACAACGCACGTGAGAGCACCGAGGAGGAATGAATGGATTCGAGACGGCGAATGAAGCACGAAGGCAGTGCCATTATAACCTCAAGGGAGGTTAGGGAGCCAAGAGAATGACAACGTGGCTAGCCACCGACCCTGCGAAATTACCACCAGAGTCCAGACCGAGAATCCGACTCCGGAGTAGATACGTGCAGAGCTATGGTGCGATTTGATCCACGTCGACTGGGACTAATGCCCGGTCCCAGGTATCTCACTAGTCGGCCCCGCTCGAAATCCCCCGCAGGAGGGACTCGGGGGGGCCTGGATGGTGGATGGTGGTGGGGTTTGGAACCACCACGACGGGGAAGTTTCGTGGTTTGTATGGGATGGCGTTGGGAGACGAGGAGGGGCTGCGGCTGTGCAACTGCCACTAGGATGGTTGCGCTGAAGATCGGCGGTGGGCGTGGGCACAGCCCCGATGGACCACCTCCATCTTGGCCACCACACGTGTATCACGAAGAGCCTTTCATTTGATGAGCAACAAAAACAACAGCACAATTGCACTCGAACGCCTCGAGGGCCCCGGATGCGAAACAAGCGTCAAGATTCTGGCACCAAAATCCGGCACCGCTGGTCTGCGGGGACTAAACTGCGTAGGGAGCTAGATAACTTTCCCCGCTGGATCATACCACTCACGCGAGCACAAGAAGCCAAATCCTAGGGTTCGACCGATACCCGATTGCCGTAGCCAGTCGAGGTGTGCCGCTTGATTCGGGAGAAACACGCCCGCGGAGATACCCAGTGTGCTCAGGGCAAGCACGACTTTTGTCGGTGAGACAAGCGCAGGTCTATGGCTGCCCCCATGAGCAATCATGATCGACTAGGGTGTTGCCTTTCCTGACCTTAGATTACTCGAGTACAGCAAAAGGATGCATGAGAAGTGCCTGAGAACTGGCGCATCCATTGTCAGCACTGGAACCAAAATGCCCTAGGCGTTGCAGGCTGGAGTACAACAACCCCCTGATAACCCTAGAATCGAATGTCAGACACAGATGGATGATAGCGCATGTGCCGGCTGGTCACGGATAGTTGTTAAGACCCCGTAGAATAAACATAGTTAGGGTAATCAGAGCTTAACCGGCTTAAATGAACTATTGGGAGTCCCAAATACCGATATGGTTTTGGTGGTGACGATCACCGATGTACCTGGTTGTAGCCAAGAAGGCCAATTAAAACCAAGCAGTATCAGAAGACTTTTCACGAAGTCCGTTTGGCCGTAACTAGTAGTAGACCAACCTTGATCTGCCGAAACCAGCACCATCATATGCTGTTTCCTTCTCCCTGCGGCATGGCTCTGCAGCTTTCAATTTAGCAAACACAGAGGTTATGTTCGTTTGACTTCCGTCCAAAACTGGACTAGTGCGCATGCTGCAATCCTTGAAGCTTAGGTTGGTAACGGATCTATTCAACGACGTCTAGGGGATAGCTTTCGGAATAACGGCATCCTGCTTCTAGCGCTCACTACGGTGGGAAAAGGAGGCGCGGAGGACGGGGTCGAAAAGCAAGGAAATGGTAATTGAGCGCATTTTGGAAATTATCTCATGCAATCTATCTTGGCCTGGGTTGGCCTCATTGGTGACCGGACTCGACGTAAGCGCCGAGGGTTCGATGGCATGAGAAGCAAAGTGAAGGAGAACACTAGACCTAGCCAGCGATGATGGGATGATATCCATGCCATCCAACGAGCCACTTGCCAGCAATACTTTAGAGTGAGCTGTATTCCATTCGCCGCTTGGACCTGTAGTTGTATTGGGTGTGAGTTTGCATTGTTACAACTCCGGGTGACTGTCTATGAAATCGTCCGTCAATTTGAAATCACTAATGCCCCAGATTGTCATTCTTCGATCAAGGAGGCGAGTTCCAAGCTTCATACTCGCTGCGATGGGTATGCATATACTCACCGACATATCTGGACCCCCTGTAATTGTCGATTGACTCTCAAAGATAAAATATAGTCTTTCTTGTCGCTCAGCACTAATCAAGTTACTCCTGAAAGTGTAGGCCGTGTTCACCTGTCTAGCACATGGAGAGGAAACAACACCGCTGGGAATGCTGCGAGCGTCAGTAACATTGTGCCAACGTATAAGGAGGGCACCCAATTAGCCCCATGCAGTCATCCCCGCCGTTGTTCCGCCGGAACTGTAGAGTAAATCCTGCGACGTGCTGCCGCTCTGCGATAAATACACTGCCCAGTGCGTCCGCTTTAATCATGCGTTGGCATCATGCCGTTCACCTTCGTCGATGATCTCTCTCTGGGTACTGACGGTCTTTTAAAGATTGCGACTGGATGTGTGGCTGAGAGAGCAAACCGATCCCCATTCGTAACGTACTTGCCCAGACGTTATGAGGAACAATAGACTTGTACTCACTCAACATGCGATAAAGCACTTCAGCATTTTCCTCTTATAGCTTCACATTGAGCCCATTTAAATGTTTATTACTATGTGCACTGGTCGGTTCATGTCAGATATATTCTCATAAACGTTGACCCCATCTACTTTATCGAACTTCATTTTCCTACATATCCTTAAAGATAAAGACTCCATAAGAAGATGATTGTCGCCGTGGTATAGATAGCTACAGCTTCGATAGTTCTCCATGTGGCAAGGGACTGCCCCCAAGGAATATCCGCCTGTCAGCAGTAGACTCTTCAGACAACCCAACCGAAGGTAAAGAGACATGGATGCTTGACGGAGTGTTACTGCTTATCCACCGAGAGGCAACCTCTTTTGCAACTTGATTATCGTCTGAAAAAGCATCATATATCAGTAGCGTGCCGCATACAACTATCTCGATATACTGCATGAGTTCCCTGCCCCGGTATAGAAGCTCTTCCCTCGTGTGCCTGGAGGCAATGGATTGGAAGGTGTCGAGGCACTCCTGTACAATTCTGCATTCCTCTCTGAGTTTCTGGTGGCAAACTGCAAGTAATGGTCTCGCCCACCCACCAAGGACTGTCTCAATGATTTTTCCCTTGCCTAGGCGCTTGTCATTGATTACTCGAATGACATCTTCCGCCATCACATTGACAGTTCCTTCCCAGATAGCATTGACTGCAGTATCGCGGAAGATCCTTGCAATGTTTAGCAAACCACCGTCTTCATTATTCTCACAGTAGCCAACGCCACCCAGACACTCCATGCAGGCACGGAGTCCATGAACCGAATTCACACTCACGGTACCCTTCATCACGGGGGTGATCAGTCGGAGTAGAGTTGCTGCTGTTGCGGCATCCCTTGGGATTAACTTGGCAGCCTTGGTATTTGGAACCATTAAACCCCAGTCTTGCTCGATGGTGCCCTGTAGAGCAACGGCAAAGAAGGTGAGCTGCATAGCCGCCCAGTACTTCACCGTTTCACTCGCCATCCACCGCACATGTAGTAGATTGTCTTGAAGAAGCTTCCCCTGTGTTGAGCGGATCCGACTATACGCGCGACAGATTGCCAACCCGCGGCCCCAGTATCCAAGTGAGCCACCAGCAGTGTAGAGCCGAGTAATGTTAAGAACAGTAGCAATTTCCTTGACGCCCTTCCCTTCCTCTCCAATGAGCCACCCTCGAACCCCCCTCAACTCCAGTTCAGCCGTTGGCAGTGATTTCGTGCCCAACTTATTCTTCAACCGCTGGATGCGGACACCATTCAGCTCCGGTGCCTTTCCTTTATGGCCGGCCCAGCGGCGCATGGGAACATAGAAAAGGCTCAATCCCTTGCTGGTCTGCGCCAGTAGGAGCGTCATATCGGAGTCCGTGGCGCTGCTAAACCATTTAAAGCCGTCGACTCGCCACGGCCCCAGCGGCAGCCCATGCGCGTCTCGATCCCGGCCTTGCGCACTATCGCTCGATAATTCCTCGACCGTTAACCGCCGGGCGACCGTCTCCGTGCCCCGAACATCACTCCCGCCACGGCGCTCCGTCATCCACTGTCCAGATGTCCACGCCACATTGGGATCTCGCGATACCAGTCTCCGATAAGATTCTCTCAGCACCGCAGCCCGCCCGGGCTGATCCCCGTCCGGGCGGTTCAGATGGGCAGAGAGCAATTTCGCCGCCCCATCACTCATAGACGCCGGGCACCCCGTCATGGCCGCACTACTGGTCCACACATGATTTAGCGCAAACTGATGCACTCGCCTATTCCAGGCATCATTCTCCCGGTCGTAGGCGACAGATACAAGCCCCTCCTCCTGTCCGATTGCCTTCAGCTTACGCCACCCCTCACCCACCCAGAGCGGGTCGACGCGGTTCTCTTCACCGAATGTCGTGAGGGTTCTGAGGACAGGTTGGTTTACTTCCGCGTCGACGGCGAGTTGGAGGATTCTGGGGTCGAGTGCGAGGCGAGATAGGTTATGGATGGAAGTTGTTACCGAGGGGCAATTCCGGGGAAGGTAGAGATCTAATACGCGAGCGAGTGCTGTGTCGTCAGAGGGATTTTGGGCGGATTGGGCGTGGTCGTTGATGGAGGTGTAAGCTGGTGGGACGATGGGGAGGGATTGGAAGAATCCATCGGTGGAGGATGAGGGTTTCTTCCAGTTAGGGGTTGCCATTTCCGTTTTTGGTTCTCGAAGTATGGGAGTGGTTTCTGTCTTGAGGGTGGGTGAAGCAGGCAGGGGGAGAGTATTGTCTTGGATGGTTTGTGCCATGAAGCTTCTATATATATCCCGCCTGTGTTGAAACGCTACCTCGGTCCATGGCTTCATCACACCACCCTCAACGCTCTTGTGACTGTGCCGGATGTTGAACTGGGGTTTTGGGGATCGGGATTATAGAGCTGGATCCGAAATTCATGTACGGCAGGAGAACATTGATTGGACAAAATTCCGATAGCCATTTAGGTGGTTGGAGCTCAACACCCGAGTTCCACCGGAATTCACGTATTTAGTTTCCAAGAGGATTGAGGATTGGGGATATAGAATCGAGGAATTCCAGCTCCAGAGAAGCTTTCGGTGTCACTCGTACAACGATGCAGAATATTGGCCTGTATAATTACGAGAATGGTGAACTGGTGAAGCCTGTGCTTACAAGGTCGCTAATCCAGATTCAACAAAACATCAAGACGCTTCCGAACATGGAGCGAGTTCATATTCTTGTTATATAATCGGGTCAGATGTATTCAAATGCACCAGAAGGTCGGCTAGTAGCTTCATAATCTCCCAGCGTTTTCGCGATGCATCGTCTGAAAGCGATTGACGTTGAGCTTCCTCTCCTTAGATCTGTACGTTCGACAATAACCAATCTTCGACCAATTTCGATTACACATATGGAACGGTCTATCGATACACCCATACATCGGAATGCTAGACATTATCCACAATTCACAGCTGCCGTGAGTTTAGAAATTCTGTTAGTTAGCCGATTACGCTCACATGCATATCAGAGAAAAAGAGCAAGCTGCTGGTAGAGCGACGTCGAGCTAGAGATATCAAACCCATCCAAATCAAGTGGTGTCCCCAGCTCCCCCCAGATCTCTTCATCATCTCTCCCAACGTCAGATGGGAGATCAGGGCCCTGGACGTCAGCCTGAGCGGGCCCAGCCTCCTGATTACCCAACGGTGGGTCTTCTGTCTCAAAATCACCCGCCGCACGATCGATCAGCGCAGACACCTCTTGCGAGGAAATAAGATGCATTGTGTCCGTTAGAATCTCTACGCTTTGCTTGCTGAGTAAGGTCCCTGAACCTGCTAGGGCCAAGATATTAATCAAACGGGCGAGTGCTTGCTTGAATGTTGGCACTTGGGGGGAGGAGATATCGGAGAGAGCGAGCATTGCCAGAATGACTCCAGCGGTGAAGCACTGGAAGCACACCTGCGCGGCAGAAGTTGTATTAGAGACTAGACGTATAATGGCTCGATGTTGGTAAATATCGGATGTTCGGATGGCCGATGTGATCATTTGATCGCGGACCGTAACGGGCGTCTCGCTGCTACCGGGCTCGGACTGAGAGCATACCTGGATGCTCAAATGCCGTTTGCTGGTCAGGAATGGGCGCAGTAGTAACAACAGATTATGATCAAATGCCAGCTGGAGAGTCAGTGCCTGTAGTGTAAATACGCGTTGGCCTTTATCTTGCAGCTCGCTTTCGTGATTTCTGGAAAGGTCTAGCTTTAATTCGGGAGGAATCGTGGCTTCCCAGGTTGAGAGGCGGCTGTATACCTCTTTGATATCCTTTAATCGCATGCCAGGCATTACGGCGGACATTATTGAGTACAGTTGGGCCTTATATCGGTTATACGAAAACGAGGTGACGGGCCACACGGAACCGTCTTCTCGCACCTCGTAGGAGGTACTGCCAGGACAGGTGGTTACATCGTCCAGGTCCAGAGGTTCTGAAACGCGGAACCGTCCCCCGGCCTGGATAGGCGGTTTGCCGTACGCCTGTGCAGCGTACCTGTCATGTAGGTTCCCAGTCAGATACTTTCAAATATCACCCGAGGATCATAACTTATGCGCCTACCCATCGGCCATATATATCGCCCACCATACCCTCCGTCGAACCTGCAGCTCGACGTTGTCTAGTGGCTCCCAGGTACTTTCGTCATGTAGCCCGATGGCGTGGGCGATGCGAAGTCCCATGCCAGATAGTACAAATGCTAGCTTCGTCTTGCCCTCTAGGAGGTAGGCAATGGACATCAAGAGGGCACACCCAACAGATTCGAGATCTGCCTCGTGTAGAGACGGGAATAAATGCTGCTCGACGGCATTGAGTACAGTATTACGATAGGACTCAAGATTGAATATCGGATCGTGTGTTGCAATAGTTTCTGAGGGGGCGAATCGAGTTCCAATCATGAAAACTACCAGCAGTAAAACTAAGAAGGGCTTTTCGGATGCTGTAACAGCGCCAGTTTGTATCATGGGCATTGCACGCGCTCGAAAGGTTTGCTCGTGGAAGAGTGCGAGATACCAATGATTTGCCTGGAGATATGCGTCGATGAGTATTAAAGCGACCGGGGCTGAGGGCAGCTGAATCCCAACCAGGTCTTTGACCGGTATCTTAACTGTGTCCGTGGCAGAATCCTTACTAACTGGATGGCCATCAGGAATAGCATCTGATTGTCGCAGATTTCTGAGATGGTTGCGAAAAAGCTACGAGAGGTCAGAAGAAAAGCAGTAGCACTAAGAGTCGATAGAGAGGCGCTACCTGTTCAACTAGGTGGAAGGTGGAAGGGCTTCGGTCTTCAGAAACTGGGTTTATAAGGGGTGTACTTTCATTCATAGAAGTACTTTCGACAGCACTAGCGACGACAGGACGCGACGGTGCCGGTTCACGACTGGTGCTCGAACCACTGATATCACTCTGTCGCAGTGGCCTCAAGTTGGGTTTCCTCCTGACAACAGTCGCAGCGTTAGCTAACTAGTCTTGCGACATAGGACTGAGTAAGATTCACGCTTGTCTTTTACTAGTGACGCTTTGGCAGTCTACCCCGGCTCGAGTGCACAGCTGGCAGGGCCGAACATCGTCGCACTCAGATGGTGTTAGTATATAACGGCGGACGTGTCCAGGAGGATGACGAACCTTCAGCTTTTGCCTGCGACATCTCATGCACGCGTTCCGCGCTCGAGCTGGCTTCATGATGCCGGCGTTAAGACTATTTGACTGGCCTAGGAGCCGGTGGGAAACGTTTCGGAAGTCTGCATTTCCCCAGTCGTGCGTGTCGGAAGTCGTGGTAGAATTTGCCGAGGTCCAAATACTTTCCGGTGGAATTGACATGCCGATTCCGATAGGCTGGATAGCCCAAGTTATACATTGACTGAACATAAATATGTAGTATAATTAAGCCCTCTAGTACTATTATCGCAGGAGGGGCTGCTATCCAGAGCAAAGTCTCTCGTCGCATTCGCAATATGTCCGTCCGCACTGTCTACAACCCAGCGAAGGACTATTGTCTACCGGACATTGATCCTTTATCGCTGCTTTTCGGTGACAACCCTAGTATAATCCTTGCAAAGTAATATTGAAACTGACAGGACATAGACTCTCCATTGAGCTTGTCCACCGAGGATACCGTGTTGCATATCGAAGCAGGGAACGCAGCAAATTGCGTGACCAAAGCCCAATGCCGATCGTACACCAAAAGAATTGCGCACACTCTACGTGAGGGATATGGTATTGGGGCCAATCGCCCAGGAAAAGATGTCGTTGCCTGCATCTCGTCTGGCCAAGTCCTGCTGCCTTCAATGTTCTACAGTGTGATCGCCGCAGGTGGAGTCTACAGTGCAGCTAGCTCCAGCCTCACAGTGGCCGAACTGGCACGGCAGCTGGATCACGGTAGTTGTAGGTTGTTGATCACGAGTGAAGACTGCAAGATTGTCGCATTACAAGCGGCAGAGAAGTGCGCCATATCGCCGTCAAGGGTGTTAGTCTTAGAGAGTCGGGGAGGGAAGCGTCATCTCGCTGCTTGTTCACAGGAAAACATCAATCTATTAGAACAGTATCCAGGCCAGCTCCAGTGGGAGAGGCTTTCAGATCCGGCTGTTCTCAAAAGCCGCACCAGCTGCTTAATATATAGCAGTGGTACAACCGGCGAGCCCAAAGGTGAGTTCATCCTAACTTCTGATTTAAGTTGACTGCTCATGTGACCCCTGGACTATAGGTGTAAGGATCTCCCACCAGAACCTGGTATCCTCCGCTCTGGTGAACCTATTCGCCTATCAGGATTATATATCCCGGCAGAAAATAAGGTCGGCGGACTTCAGACCGGAATACCGCACCATTGCACATCTCCCTGCCGCTCACATTGCTGGTTGCCAGGGATATTTGATTCAGCCAGCGCTCTGTGGTGGAACAGTTTACTGGATGCCGAAGTTTAACTTCCAGAAGTTTCTCTCCTACTGCAAAGAGTACCGCGTCACGTTCTTCTTCACGGTCCCCCCGATATTCCAGTTGATGGTGCAAAGCTCGTTAGTCATAGACCAGTTTCAATACCTGATTCACGCAGTTTCTGGCGCAGCTCCTATGGGTCCTGACCTGGTGAAAAAGGCAGCAAGCAAACTGGGCTGTTCCGTCACTCAAACATGGGGTCTTAGTGAAACTACCGGCAGCGTTACCGTCTCGCCGTGGGACGCCCATATAGCAGATGGCAGTGTCTCCCCTCTAGTTGCAAACATCCGACTACGGGTTGTTGATGAATCCGAAAACGACGTGAGTGAAGGGGAAATAGGTGAGTTTGTGGTTCAAGGCCCAATGGTTACCCAGGGATACTGGGACAATCAAAATGCTTCTAAAGAGAGCTTTACTACCGACGGGGCCTGGTTCAAAACAGGAGACCTGGGTTATTGCATGGACGATAAAATTTTCATTGTTGACCGGAAGAAGGTGAGTGCTCGATCTTCCCAGGGAGACCTGATATGGGATACTAAAAGTTCACCCTCAGGAAATGATCAAGTATAAAGGGCTCCAGGTAGCACCAGCGGAGCTGGAAGCGCTTCTACTCTCCCACTCATATATTCAAGACGCTGCTGTGGTTGGCGTCCCTGATCCGGATATAGAGGGAAATGAACATCCTAGGGCATATGTGGTGGCAGACCAAAGCCAAATAACGGAGGCTATGATAAAGGACTTTGTGAAAGCCAACCTCGCGTCTCATAAACAACTAAGAGGCGGCGTCGCTTTCATTGAAGTAATTCCAAAAAGCCCGACGGGAAAGATACTAAGGAGGCAGCTAAAAGATGCAGCTAAAGCGTCAAGAAGACTGAAACTGTAGCAATAGGGTGATTGCCGTGATGTCAGTTGCGGTCTCGCAAAATTCTATCATAGTATGCCTAGAAATGGAAGCTTCAATGAGTGTTTACCTAGGATGAAGCGGTCATATATAGACTATGGTACGAGGACTCAACCTAACCTCGATAATATGATAAATGAATTTACACCGCCGAGGCTATGACCTATCTGTGTAACGGCTGTACATCATATAGGTGCTATCCAAAATAACTTGACTTTTCGCCTCGTTGGGGGCGTGGTTACCTGGGCGCACGCCCTCACAATCCGGCAAGGGTTTGTGGTATCAACAGAGGGAAGAGCAAGTCGTTTAGAGTGAGATTTGCATCCAACATGTATTTATTTTAACTTATTTGTGCAGGTGATACTACATTGGTTGACCTTACCAGCGCTCCAGAGTTGCACGGTTTGAACACATTTAGTTGCGTATGAACTATAGTATGATTATAGCTGGAACACTTTTGTCGGCAAACGGATCGTAAGGACAGCATTCCGCAGCAGAGTCGCATTGATATATCGAAGAACTTTGACTTCGTGCATCGGATCGAACCTGGATGGCTCCGGGAAGGAGATTGAACCAGAGCCTTCCCAACCCTCGTTTGCCTGTATCTTAATGTCCACTGGCACCAATTCCTTGACCGACGGACCCTGACCTGGGACCACTGAGGGGATGACTCTCAAATTTAACCCCGGGATCGTTCTCTCCACCGTGGCCTTGAGTTTCTGTTCAGGCTGAAACCCAACTTCGACAATCTTTTGGCCTGCAGGTCTCTCCACATAGCCGCGAAGGACCGCCGATCCCGTTTTTGACGTTAACACCACGTTCCCCAACTTCTTGGGGAAGCCGAATTGCTCGCGGCCGCACAGTATCGGCGAGTCATTGTCTAGGATCAGGGACAGGAAGTAGTCAAAACTGTCGCCGTTGTATTTAACTTTGACCGAGTGGACATACTCGTTGTACGGTCCGAACGAGGTCATTGTGTGCGTTAAAATCATCACTGTTATGTGTGGCTCATCCTCAAGCTCCAGCATATCCGGCACCAGATGGCGCACATACTGGACTGATGTTTGATAGGTAACGAGGACAACACTGTCGCTCGTGTAGTCGCTGCCACCTACGGGATACGGGGGCGCATACTGTGGGATGGCCGAATTGGAGACTGAGAGCGAGCCAAATGGCATTTTCGATTAGTTAAAATAGAATATCACCGTCAGAGTTTGTTTGCAGCGACAGGTTATACGCAACATCTTCTTGTTCTGATGGGATCAGAAGAAATTTATATATTCCGAGCTATACACTGACGTTATACCCTAAGACACACTGGTGTCACCAACGGTCAGGCCACCTTGCAAAACTATGGACAGTTAGAGATGATGCCAGGTCGCTTAGGTGTGATCTAGACAATCAAGTCAACTCTCATTTGGCAGTGACAAATAGATTCCGCTGTAGCTTCTCACTCCCACATTGTACTAAGAGTGGGGTGACCCTTATCCGTCAAACGACTCTAAGCCACGCATATAATAGGCAGCCAGTCCCCTTAGGATAGTGGAACCAGTCAGGTTCTTCATGCCATGGATGGGCTGGACCAGCCGGTAGGGTACGAATGCGTCGAGGTCCGACATCGTAGTGGTGTGACCACCGCTCTACAATCTGGGTCTACCACCGTCCGCAACTGGGATGGACAGATGTGTCTCGTCTGGGATTGAGAATTCTGACGGCGTTTCTACCACGCATTATATCCCAATGAGCAGCCTATAACCCGTGCTATTATACTACTATTGCCCTATACCCGCGTACATGCCGGATCAAGGGTACACATCTGATTCGGCCCCGTTTTGGTGTTCCTGCGTGCGCTGTCGCCCAGAGTGCGTGGCAGTGCAGCTTGCTCCGTCTCCCGCTGCGAAACAACAGGAAAAGGAAGGTCGCTCGCTGTGGGTGGGGTGTGTACTCCTGTGGCAATACGGCTCAGAACGAGTATATCAGCGTTGCAGCTAGTTTGACCAAAGCAGTGGCAGGAAACTCGATGCAGCCATACCACTGACACGCAGTGAAGGTTTCATGAGCCAAGCCTTCGGACGATTCTCAGTGATAGAACGGTTCTAAGTGGGTCCGCCAAGTCGACGTGGTGAAATGTTCGGGGGTGTGAGAGATCTCTAGCACCGAAGAGACTCCTACGCTAAGGTGTCAGTACCGCACTACATGCAGCACTATACGGGATGGAGGTACCGGTTAGTATGTATATACGTATCTACATAGCTGCAGATGCGGGTCGAATAAACCAATACGGATTGGTGTGGCTTTGAATAAGAATTCAAGTTGTTGCATTGGTTCAACTGCATTTACCTGGGGAGTAGACAAAGCAATTGGTGATATACGCGCGGGATTGATGAGCATCTGAGAGGAAAGCCACGTTTAATTAAAGCTATTACTAACATTCATGAAGTACTCGGGTAGGGTATGTCGCATTGAAGCACACATGAGGATAGGTGTACGGAGTGCTCTTGACAAATATACCACAACGAGATCTTGCTATGACCCGCGGGTGATCCTAGCTGCTGACCCTCAACCCTCGCCAGGGGTCGGGTGGAAAATTTCTCAGACTGGAAAGGACTCAGGGATCAACGATCACTAACTAACTAGAGCTCCTGGCAATCAACACTGTACTAGCTTTTCTCACCGCTGCTAGACACCCGAGGAGGGGCTTGACTGCGTCGATCGAACCCCACTTCTCAGCGCATTCTACCGAAAGCCACCGGTTTATACAAAGATTCTCGCTTCAGCTGGAGAGTTTCTCCACCGGGATGGAATCTGTGTGGTCAGGTCGCTTCGTAGTTGCCATTTAGCCTTTTGAATAACTATGTGCAAGGGGTCTGTGCGCATGTTGAGAGTGCGGCGATGAATGGGTATGGGCGTGCGGCTGTAGAGGCTGCCGGGGTGTGGAAGAGGTATCGCGAGTTACGAGTACGGAGAAGTACTGGACATTCAAGGCAGGGCTCGGTGGGGCAGCTGAAAGAGAAGCAGCTCCGATGAGCCGGCGGAACTCCTGTCACTCAGGCAATCTGCAGCTGAAGATTGTCGCGTCCACGTCTTCATCGAAAAGATTACGGTTTTACGTAAAGTCATGAAAATCAGTTGATGTCATGGTCAGTTTCTATGTCACCCCTCCCTAGCCTCTTTCTAGAAATAGACGCCTATATAGCAGAAGAAACTAGGTCCTAGGAGCCGAAGAAAATGCACCTGCTACTGGACCTCTCACTTGCATTGGAATAAGGAAAGCCGGCACCAAGAGAAAACGATACTGAGCTCCAGAGCAACTTTAAGCAGATGGATATGTTTTTTCAAGAATAATGTTGTCAACACAGAGCTCATTCGCTTGGTTGAACATGGTCAAGATTAGCCCGGACGATGTCACACGCCCTCTAAACCTACAGGAAACGTCTTTCAGCTTGAGTCCCGCAATGATGGAAATATACCAACAGAAACACGTACCAGTAGTAGGACTGCTCTGCTTGATTCTGAAGGAACTCAATTTCCCTCTCGCCGCTGCTCAGCTTTCTCAACCCGTTCAGGACCCGGTGTGGAGCGAGTTTGCCTTCTTTTCACCGGCAGCATTCTCAGTCCACTGCCAGGTTGCGATCACCGGCTCGTCCATGGTGGCGGAGTTCCCACCGAAGATCACAGTAATGATCTCATCTTGGGCATAACTATCGTAGTTGATCTTGCCAGTGTATACAAGCATTTTGGCTGGGTTGTGGAGCAAGGTGACTGGGAACTGCTGTCAGATGGGTGGTGGACAGGTGGTATCTGGTGGACTCACGGAGGCTGATGTGAAGGGATGATAGATATACACCGCTTGAAATGTTCCAGAGTTTTGTACTTCACTGAATCTTGAGTATACCCTAATGGCGGACTGGGGGAGCCGGCGGTATTTATGTCCTTGACATCTTCCCCACAGCTACCCTACTCATCATGATCGCTGCAGTGGTTTAGATATTGGCGACTCGTTCAATGAGGGGTTGTGAGGCTACAGCTGATGAGATTGGCAGCTGAGAACCAATTGTACCTGCCACACAGTGTGAGCTCGATCGAATTATACCCTCCTAGTGGAGATACGAGTACACAGACCCATCCCAGCTGAGGCAGTGCCCCTCATGTCGTGGAAACACGTAGGCAGTTCCGGTCTAGATCAGCTCGAGCTCAGCTGGCCACTACCGAGCGCGGTTGGATTAAATCGAGTGTTCATGCAGATCATTTCCGCAATATCGTAGCCAATCACAACGGCCTTGGTGAACAGTTCTTGACGGCTGCTTTACCCAATCTTGGTTATGTGGGGCGAATCGATGATGATCATCCTCTGTGGCTGGAAAACACTTCCGGCAAACATAACCCGACTATCTTGGCGATTAAAGCCTTTCCAGAAGGATAGCCTCCTAAGCAAGCCATTCCAAGCAAGGTAGATAACGCAGAAAGTGCGCAGCTTTGTTCACCTTTTATGGAGTAAGTTATAGCGTTCCATAGTACTTGTTGTACCATGGGTTTAGCAGATACCCAAGGGATACCATACTTTGGTAAGTCATGGCTAGCCCGCAAGGTAAGTAGTTGCAGTATTAGGATCTTTCGGATCTCGGAGAATTATTATTGTGTAGTCTGGTGTATACTTAGCTTTTATAACAGGAAGAAGCCAGTGGGCAAGAAATGTTTGATATGAGTTCTCGGACAGCAGTACTACTTTGACAGCGATCTTACTTTGACAGTACTAAAAAGTAAATAGAGAAAAGAGGAAAGAGTAAAAGAAGCGGGAGAAACCGGAAAAGTAATAGAAGGAAAAGATACCATATAGAAGAGTAGAATATCTGTAAGCAGTAACACGAAAGAGCTAGTACGAAGAAACAAGGGGCACAGAAAAAGGGCCACCACAGATATATATGTTAGATTGAGGATGGTTGGGAGAGTACTCCTCGAGTGCGTGAGACGGCGTTGAAATTTGGCGAGAAAGATCCACAGTACCGCGTTGGGCGAAATACCCTAGTCGGATCTTCTGCTAAGTGGGCTGTAAAAGACACACCCGCTCACACAAAGTAGGTTCCTGTCTCTTCAGGATCATGATTCCAAAGGCCTCGGGCATATTCTTGAGTATAACCTCAAGCGGGCACTTTGGTGTGATATAGTATTTCTCTGTCCCGAGAATCCTATCCCCCAGGACCCGCTTGCTGGTAGGAATGAAATATTATTTATACCGTGCGCAAAGGAACTAGGCCCCCATGTCTATACTCTCTTTTCAGGAGAGATCAGAGCCTGGAAGATACCCAAGAACTCCGTTTACTTGTTTGTCGAACTTCCGCCACGGTGCTGGCAACAGCTCACCCCCTGCGCGCAATCTAAGCCAGAAACCCACCCAGCGCCCGCATATCCTGCATCGGGAACCCCTTGGCGTTCATTATCTTTATATACACTATCCGTAATCCGTAGGTATAGGCAACGTATCGGCGTGACTTGGGGTGAAGTTCGGCCTAGAGCATATAAATGGATGGCATGGAGTAGCCTCGGCGAGCGGCTCGGGTCCAATCGGAGCTCGGCATTCTGGTTCATTTCCGCTCCACTTGGGCGATAAAGACAAGAGGTGTTCTACTTGCATATTCATACAATATATCGGCATAACATATCATTATTCCAGAACAAAATACCAGTCCGGTACGGCCCTGGTTCGAGCATATGTCTCTTGACGCAATGAATCGCATTACCTACGATCTTCCTTCAAGCCTTCCTTTAGACACTAGACGTCCTAGTAGTTCGCCTGGATGTCTGTTGCGGAGAGAAAGGTTCCAAGTTACTTTGGGCAATAGTGGCTGGCTATTTCTTCCCTCCTTGCGCTCCACACCTGTCTTAGCGACAGACAGATAGGGCAAGATTATGGGTCGAATTGCTTTGGAACAACATAAATACTCAAGTCCGGGCACTCTAAGTAATCTAGCATATCCCCTGCGAGCTCTGCAGCCGTATGACCCCATACAAAACCATAGCCGCTGTCAATCCGTGCTTTGAACCGCCCTTTCACTGTCGTTATCCTGGCACAGGCTGTGCCTCTTGATCGTAAGTGAGACAATTGCCATGGTACCACAAATGGCCGTGTAAAAGATCCACATGTTGCGCAAGCCGGGAAGAAGAGCAGTTTGATTGCTATCCTCCCCCTCAGTCTCTCCGTCTCCACTAAAGCTAGACAAACGAACGTCCCCTAACCCACTCTGCGCCACCACACCCCCAATAACTAGCGATAGCGACGTGGCCAGATTCTTGAGAAACGTCAAAGCCGCATTGCCGGTGGCCACATTCTCTGGCTTCAGAGCGCTTTGAAAGGCAATCATCGGTGCCTGAAACAGCGGCCCAGCACCCACACCGGCAATGAGCTGGTAGACCACAATCTTCCACAACACCAAATGGGGCCCGAAATCGATAAACAAGCCCGTCCCGGCCACCATGAATAAGCTTGCAATCCATATCACTGGGCGGTATTCGCCTGTGCGTTGGACGAAGAATCCGCTGGCGAGTGTCATAGCGGACAGAGGTAGTACCATGGCAAACAAGTAGAGACCCGACTGAATGGGGGTGACCTTTAGGACAAGTTGAAAGTACAGCGGGTTAAAGTAATTATAGGCGATAAATGTGAAACTGTGAAAGAAGGCAGTCAAAAGGCAAGGGACCGTTGATCGACTGAGCAAACTCCGGACGGGCAAGATGGGACACTGTGCGACAGACCACTCATAGTAACCAAAGATCGCCAGAATCACAAGTCCCCCAATCATTAGCCCCAGTGTGAATGCGGAGTCCCATTTGTGCTCATTGCCGCTGCCTGATTCAAGCCCGTACAAGAAGCAGATCGTACCTCCAACAACGAGAATAGAGCCAATCCAATCAAACGAGCGGAGGCTGCTAGCAGCTGCGCGTACCGGTTCAAGACGCAGAAAGAAAAAGAGGACTACCAACGAGAGACCATCGAATGGTAGGTTGATGTAGACTGTGGTGCAATGAACCAATTTATATCAGCACACTACCAAGGTAACATCCCACGGGGCTGGTAAGGCAACTTACAGCACCATCTCCATCCAATCGTTTGTGTAAAAACGCCTCCCAGGATGGGACCAACACCACTTGAGATTGCCCAGATAATCCCCGTCAGTGCATAATATTTCGCCCTTTCGCGGAGCGGGAATAGATCTGCCACTATGATGGTGACCATCACAATGATTCCTCCACTGCCCACACCTTGCACGGCTCGCCCCCCGATCAACATGAGAGGGGTTTTGCTCAGCGCACAGACAAGGCTGCCACATAAGAAGACACCATTTGACAGCATCAGAATGGCTCTCCGGCCCCATATGTCTGATATCCGGGCCCAGAGCGGAGTTGTGGAACTGCTCGCCAGAGTATAGGCGCTGCCCACCCAGGTATATTGTGACGTTGTCGCATTGAGGTGACTCGCGATGATTGGCAAGGCGGGTGCAACTATCGTTACGTCGAGTGCAGCCAGAAAAAGACAGAGGAAGAGCGAGATGATCACCAGATGTGATCGGATTTGTTTCCGCCGAAGGGAGAGGGCGGATACAGAGGCTGGTCGCGGCGACCTGTTTTGCTCAGGATCATCCGGGAGTGAATCCTGTGAAACCATTGTTAAAGTCCAGTCGTTAAGTGAGAAAGCTCTGAGGGAGGAAAATCTGCAATTGACAGAGCGTTACGGGCATGGTTTTCAGGAAATGGGTCGGCGGAGCAGAAGAATAGTCAGAGCAGCGCACCGTTCAAAACAGCAAAACGTCAATTTTTCACGTCTATCCTTCCCAAAGACTATTGAGTAGTCAATCGCTGCGAAATCCACAAAACTCAACAATTATCCATGAGAGCTATCGTGGACCCGAGGTTCTCTCGGTCACCTCCGAACGATGTCGCTCGGGTCCAATCAAATAGCACGCAGGCAAAACGTCTTGGAACATGTAGATCGCCAGTCAAGTCGGAACGTTCAATGCCTAGGGAGGGTGTCGTTCTTAAAAAACACTCCCTTCTGGCCCATATCCTTCCTTTCTTTTTCCGAAATTGTGTAGGCGCCTGGCGAGTCGAGTGTAGTACGGGACATGCCTGATAGACTAAGCACTGGCAATTTATATGGCGTCGTAGCTAAGTATGTGACTCGCTCCGGTCAACAGAAAGTCTTTCGGGGATGCTTGCTGTTCCAAATTAGAATGATCGGAACATTCGCTCGGCATTTTATAGAAAGCCAGAGTTCCTTTATCCCATCGACGCCTTTCAAAATCTTTCGGTTCTCGCTCCAGCAGCTCGACCATGCATTTTGGTCTTGGACTTTTCTCTTTTCTATGGGCCACTGCTCTAACGTTTGCGCAATGTAATGAAGGTGCCGGTTCTGATATACGAGGCGGTCTTACGGTTACAACCTCCACGAGCACCGGTGAGCCCCTCCTTCAAATTCCAGTTACTGCGATGGGCTAGCAACCATGTAGTCCGTGGCATTGTCAATGGCAGTACGCCCAACGTCCACGCCTGGCTGGGAATTCCATATGCCAAACCTCCAGTCGGGCACCTCCAGCACCGTTGCCTACATCCCACAAATCTATCGCCGCGGGCCATATGCCAAATGCCTGTATGCAATCAACAGGAACTGGTGATGGAATTCATGGCCCTTTGACGGGTGGCCAGTACTTGATCAGTACCCCTGTCAGTGAGGATTGTTTGACTGTTAGTATCTGGGCGCCTTCCAGAATATGCGAAGCACTTCCTGTTGTTATATTTCTCCACGAGGGTGGCCTTGGTAGTGGTGGCACTTCGGTGCAGTATCAGATACCAGCCAATTGGGTTGAACGGTCCCAGTCACACATTGTCGTATCTATTCAGTACCGCCTGGGTGTGTTTGGGTTCCTTAGTTCACATGCATTGCGAGAGACATCTCAAAATCTTGGTCTTTTGGATCAGCGTCTTGCCATCGAGTGGGTTAGGGATAACATCGCTGTGTTTGGTGGCAATCCTGAACAGACCACGCTGTGGGGGCAGTCAGCTGGAGCTGCGTCAATCGACTGATATAGCTTTGCTTACCCGGACGACCCGATTGCTAAGGGTCTTATCATGGCCTCTGGGAGTGTCTGGCTATTTGGTAGCCAGGGAAGTGGCAGTCCATCGAACTTTCCGAACATGACATCTCACTTCAACTGTACGGGATCGGATATCACCCAATTGGAATGCATGCGAAATCAATCAACAACGAGCATTCAAACCTTCATCGAAAGCCCCCCCAGATCTGCACTGAGCTTTCAGCCAACTCAGGACAACATCACTGAGTTCTCAGACTATTCCGCCCTATATCAGGGAAGGCCTTATGCCGATGTTCCGGTCATCTATGGAGCAAACCTGAAGGAGCCATCGTCTACATTCATGTGTCCTCAAGCTCAGGGCCTAAGATAACGACTACCAAGTAATCGACTTACCTTTTTTTACCAGTATCATGGAAACTTGTCAAATGTCTCCCCCGACCCCACAGTAGGAGCATACCGCAGTGCCGAGCTACCGCTAATCATGGGAACTTACGGCAATGTCGATGGTCGTGGGACCAAATTCTAAGCCATCACAAGTGATAGAATGCAGGACTTGTGGCTCGCTTTTGCAAGGGATCCTTACAATGGATTACCCAACAGTGGCTGGAGATCTTTGAATGACGGGCTTGCCGAGATCTTGGGCAGCACAACTACGCAGACTGAAGCCAGAAATATCCCCATTACAGATGTTCCAGACTGGACAGCTTGCCCCAAGGATAACCAACATTTCAAGGTTGGTGGAACGATCATTCATCCAAGAAGGTGCAATCATGCAGAGCGTACCCCTACCACAGATATTTTGTCAGAGTTCCTAGAACACGAGCCTATGATCCCATCGAGTGTGCTACAGCGACCTTTCCGTGGATGGTGCAACGGTACCTACTTGCGATAATTGGATTACTATGAATGGATGTACGAAGCACCCTAGGCTCCCGAGGTAGATAACCGCTTAGTTCCCAGATCAACGTCCTTTCGGCATGGCAAATGATATCATTACGTTAATCACCAAAGAAGCAGTGTTTCCACACCAGTAAGCAACATCAAGGTCTCCAGGAATAATAACAGACAACAAGATGATGAGTCAGTAGTCTCTTGAGTAACTCTTCATCTCTCATCCCCTGCATGCTATGTTCTGATTATCTCGCCTTAACAAAGGCTCCCCGTCTTATTCGCCTTCGAGCCAATAATGGCCAGACTCATAAAATGGGCAGCAAAGGCGCTTTGAAGACCTAAAGTGCCGTAGTCCTAGCCATCGTTTCACTGAAGATCTCCTCAAATCTGGTCTTGTGCAGATCTTTCTTGCACTTGACTATCTGCACACTGAATGCAAGCTCGTGCACACGGTAAGACGTGTCCACGTGACCTTGGCGAAATGCGTTGTTCTAACCTGCAAAGTTCTAGACATCAAGAGCGATAATATTCTTCAGGACATAGAAGACAAGTGGATCCTTGAACGTTTTACGCAGGCTGAGCTGAAGGATCCTTCACCCCGCAAAATCGTCAATGGTTTGCCAGTATATGCCTCCCGACGTTTCGACTTGCCGAAAGCGTTTGGCCGAGCAGTTTTAAGTGATTTTGGACCTGCTGTACGAGGAGATGAGAGGAGGAGTCACGATGCTCAACCAAATATTGACAGATCACGGGAAGTCATGCTCAGGACTGATTGGGGCTATCCCGTCGAGGTATGGAATGTTGGGGTTATGGTATGCTTTACCTGTGTACTCTCAATCCCATGTAATAATCACCTAGGGATAATAGGTGTGGGATTTATTTGAGGGGAGACGCCTTTTCTATAGAAATGACCCGGATGGCAAAGGGTCTTCGACTCGGGCACATCTTGCAGAAGTCATGCGGCTTCTAGGGCCACCTCCTTTAGATATGCTCCAGCGTGAAAACCGAAGTCATGAGTTCTTTACCATTGATGGTGGGTATCCACTTCTCGTTTAATAGACTTGGCAAAGGCTTACGAAGACAACATTGTAGGGAAATGGGAGCAGGACGTAGAGATCCCGACAGGAGCAAGTTTAGAACTGTCGGAAGACTTCGTCAAGGGGAAAAATAAGGAGGTGTTTATAGCTTTCCTGAGAGGGATGCTTCAGTAGAGGCCTGAAGATAGGAAGACAGCGAAGGATCTACTGCAGGATCCGTGGCTGAATGCTTAGTTGGAGTAACTTAAATATTCATTGCATTATCATCATCATAAAACACGCTCCACGTAAAGATATCCCTCATTCTGAAGGTACGTAAGTGGGTATCTCCAACAGAAGTACACTGCTTGACCCGTATTTAATGTGTTCTCTATAGATGCAAGTATGGATGCTCTAAACCACCAAAAAGGGAAAAGAAAAAAAAAAAGTAAAAGCCCGAACGCTATTCAGACTAGCTGAGCATGATTTCGTGGCCTCTATAGTATAAAAGAATAAGTATTGGAAATATTGGAAATGACCTTGGGCCCTGGACTAATGCCATGACGATCGATTCGAATTGACCTCGAGTGCTCGACCTGAGTTAATTAAACTGTGCCAGGCTTCCAACGAGACGTTACGCCTCTTGAAAACGCAAACTCCACGTTGTGAAGCAGCGCATCGTCTTAGGTTTAGCGTCCAGTCGTCCACTCATGTTCCTGTAGAGCGTTGGCCAGGCCATTAAGTGTCAGTGTTGGCACAGGAAAAGACAATGCTGCTAGCATCATTATGAATAGCCGTTCCTGAAGCGTATAAGCCCAACACACAGAGGATAAGACCAATCAGCGCAATTCCGATGTTGAGTATGGTCAACAGAATTTTACTTGGGCTGGACAGCCATTGGCCATAGTTCAGATGCAACCAGTAAATTCCACTCAAGCCATAACTGAACCAACTGGCGAACAGGGCGCTCTGGGGAGGGGTTAGAGCTATTGGTTGCAAGTGTTGAGGAAGAAGGAACTTACAATCAAGCTGTTTAGGTTGCTGAAGACGGGGATACCCTCGGAGATGATCCACGCGACAACCCAGCAGATGAAGCCTAGCGCCAGCCAGATGCTGACGGACTTCCAGCTGCGGCTGTGCAGGAGGTCTGACTTGCGGCAGGCCCGGAAATAGATATACTTCAGACCGATGTGGCCGTTTACAACGCCGGCACCGACAATCTGATCCGGGTTAGCAATGTTCGGCGAGTCTAAAGAATGGGTTCGTACCGTGGGGATAGCAATGCCATAGGCAACCTTTTTCATGACTGGTCCGGCGGAGGTCAAGGCGGGGGAGTGAACATCAGTGCCAACATAGTAATAGATGACAACGGCGGCAGTGAGGTACAAGCAGATCTCGAACGTTTGCAACATGAGTAAAGACTTGTTGAAATCCTTAGGATTCTCCATCTCAGCGATCAGGCCAAAGAAGGCTACATGCGCGCAGTAGGCGAAGACAATATTGGACACGGCCTGGAATCCCGTGTACAGGTTTGTCTCCACCGTGGCATGAATAGTCCGGTCAGGGAAGTCCTGTACAGACACAGAGATCATGGTAATCATGACCGCACCAAAGATACTGAGGAACGAGGCGAATGAAACCCACGTCATTCCCTTCATCGTTCGTGGGATAGATAGTACCATCGAAATGACCATACCTACCACACTGAAGACGATAGAACAGGTGCCATGCTCGGTAATGGTGTTCATCATGACACGGAAAGTCAAGATATGACTTCCCATGACGAAAATGCAAAAGAGAAATTGGCCCAGACCGAAGAGCTCGCGCCCAAAGCGGCCGAGCAGGATTTCTCCGGCATCTGCCAGGCTCTGAATGTGAGGGTACCGCTGGCGAAACAGACCAATGTTGTAACCTGTGTATAAAGCGAGAATACCAAGACCAACGATCAAGATAACACCCCTAGTTCACCGTCAGTCACCAGATGTGCATCTCTCTTTCCCGCAAGACTTACGGAACGAAACCCAAGGTGGCGACAGCTGCTGGCAGAGACAACACGCCCAGGGAAACAGATTCGCAAATCATGACTACCTAGCATTAGCGATATCCTTGCGTGCATGATGAAGAGACTGACGCAAGCCACATTGCCTAGTTACGTTTTAGCCCCTGATATATGCCTTGCAGGGAGATGAGATACATACCACCAAGTCAAGGTCTTGTACTTGATCTCCGCGTCCTCCTCGCTTCCGAATGCATCTTGAACTTGGCCAGCGGCGATATCCCTCTTTTCAGCATCCGCAGAGTATTCGTCTTCTTTCTTGTCCACCCCGTGTGTACCGGGGTATGCAGGTAAAACATCCATGGTGTCGACTCTGCGCGATTCAGAGAAATGGGAACGGGACTAGAGGAAGGTACTGTATATAGGATCGATATACGAGGGAGAGGGGAGGGTGAATCAGGTCAGGAAAGCGTGGGAAAAGAGAGTAGAAGCAAAGGAGACGGGCAAGACGGGGGTTACCGTCCCCATCATACGGTGGATCCTGGGGTATTTAGAGGAATCTGGACTGAAACCGCAGTAGCCCATCTCCAGTGCGGAGTAGTATGATTATTACCGCATTTTCCTGTTCCTGTTACCTAATTCCAATGGCCCTCAGCAATTCAACGGACGATGCTTATGAGATGTGGGTCTATAGAATGGGCTCCAGAACCCACCCCTGTTGCCACTACCATTGGCCGATGAGACATTTAAAAAGATGTTCTCCATATGTCCCTCACGTTTGCCTAAATTCTTGTGGGGAGATAACGTGGCTCCCCAGACCTCCTCTACCATCGAGAAAGAGTTGCAGTTGGATGGCCTGATATCAGTCTTCCACTCCCCTCGTGACATGAGACCAAATGGATATTGGGTTATTTAAGGTTTGCCTGGGTTGCTATTTAAACCTCATACTAATTGGAAACTGGGCGTAGGAGCAGGCTAGGGTTTGCTGGTTGGATTCGGGCGACAAATAAACTTTTTTCAGATAATTCTAGAAGGACACATAGGCAGTTCCAGTCGGCGTCGTCTGCACCATTCAATCCTCATATCCATCCCTAAATTAGGTTAGTAGCCTGGAAGATCCTGCGCCATGGTTCCTCTCACTGGCCGGATCCTTTGCAACCTAGTTTGTCAGACTAGTTCTCATCCCAGCCGCTATAGGCGACGGCTGAGGATCATCCATGTAACCCCTTGCCCCGAAGTTTGGATCTCTCCCTCCGAAATCACGCATGCTATCTCCAACTACACTTGGGGTGAGACATGACACGCATCCGGACATTCCCGCCCTATCCGAACGCTGTTATCGAACGCACCAGTGGCATGCTTCGCAGCGCCCAGTGGCCCTCGGTGAGCAATTATGACGGGCGTGATAGGTGGCACCTTGACTCCACTTGGACTAGTAGAAGGATTACTATTGGCAGCCATCATCAGTTCCTGGTTTGTTACTGGCCATTGACCAACCCCGGTACCGAACCTTCGCTCGAATCGCTCGCCGTGAGGCCGAAGATCGGCCGTTGTGGCGGTGGCGGCTGCTATCTTATCGGGACTGAAGAATTGCTTAGCGAGATTATTTTCAGGTCCAACTTTTCCGAGTAAGATATTGGTCATCTTCTTTTGTCTTCGTTTGTACAGCACACCTGATAACGAAGACAGCCCTGGATTTGTACTTCGAAGCCGGCGAGTCCGTTCGCGTCCCACCTTGGTGATGGTCAGCACAGGTGGATTTCTCAGTCGCCACGTCGACGTGAAAAGGCAGAGATAGAAGTGGCCCTGACCAGTCACGAAAAAACTCAGATCATATCGATAAGCGAGAAACTGCTCTGTGTGTCTAGGAACATTAGGGCCATGCTGCCACAATACATACGGCACCCTTCTGCTTTTGCTCACTGCTCGCGGACCAATTGCTAAGCAAAGGTGGCATTATGTACGCAGGAACAGAAATCACACATAATAGCTACGCAAAGTAACTGTAGTATTTCAATTCCACCTAAGTAAGACGTCATGCCTGCCAACATGGTGGGCCCGATATCTGCTCGTTGTTCTGTCAACATTGCGCTAATTAAGACAGCAAAGTGATAACGAACTGTTTGGTAGAATCGATAACCTATCATGCCAACAGCTGTCGAGTCAATAAGGGGCTGAGCTAAACTGAAATTGTAAGCACTAATACTAAGTTTAATCCACAAGGGGTAGTGCTACCAAAGTAGGTGGTGATGTCTGGCACCGATAATATAACCGACGATCTATCTTTTTTTCCTACTTGTGTGCTTTGGCAGCACTGCCGCATGGATCATTATACCGAGATACTCTATAGCGGATCAGGATTCGACAAGGAGAGCTCTTGCCATTCATAAGACAAAGAAAGGGTGCATAAATGAAGAGTGAAAGGTATGTATCGCTCTGCTTTATGTACTATGCTAAGCATTGTCTCAAAGTCCATATTTACATCCACATTGCAGGTCAAGAAAACTTCAATATCTCAAAGCCGTTCGAAAACAAACCAGGTAAGTGTTGGCTATACATCCCAATCCTCTGGGCAACAATTATCCCGAAAGCAGCACTATAGCATTGCCAAATACCAAAGCCACAGATGCCAGTGCTAGAAGGCGAAATCCAAAAGAGCTGGTGGTCTGGATACCACCCTTACTCCTATACAATATCCTATCAGGCATAGAATCTATACCAGCTTGTCTGCCACCTGCTGGAGTGCGGCCTTCGCACAAGCCTCATCGAGATCTCCGCCAGGAGCACCACCAACACCGACAGCGCCGACCGTCTCATTGTTGACTGTAATCGGTACACCACCAGCGAGAATGAGAAAGTCATCAACCGCCGCAAGTTGAGCGGCGCCGGGATTTTGGATATTCCTGACCATGGTACTGGTCGCTGTACGCGAGGATGCGGCTGTATAGGCCTTCCGGCGCGCCGCCTCGGGGGTGTGGATGGCTGCATTGTCGGCGCGCAGCAGGGCGCGCAAGACACCTTCACGGTCAACCACCGCGGCCGATACGCTATATTGGTTCTTGGCACAGTTCTGGACCGCATTCTGTGCGATGTCGAGGGCGAGACTCAGTGGAATGTTGTGTTCTTGAAGGAGGTTCGTAGAGGCAGCGGTTGAGAAGGACGCCGCCATGCAGCCAGCAATGATCCAGAGCTTGGTCATCATTTTTGCGCTTGTTTTCGCTTGCGGTGGTATGCCGGTTTGTGAGATGAGGGTAGTAATGGTAGGTTCGAAAAACGTGTCGTATAAATAATTTATTACACAAAGGTGCCAGCAGATGAGATTCCGTCCAGTCGTTCGACACATTTATATAGAACCGTTAGGCGAAGCTAGACCCTCGGCTATCTGCCAAGTCGCCGCCGACTCGCCGCCTCGAAACTAAAGTAGGCCGAGCCATGGAATCCAACGCTGCGCCTCCCATGAGAGCCCGAAGCGAGGGATTCAGGGTCCAAAAGGCGGCAGCTCCCGTGGGCCAAGCCGCCAAGCTAATATACAAGTTGGCTCTGACAATTGTTTTATCGATTGGCCGAGGTAGATCGCAATTCCTTCTCGCGAAATTACGAATGCGGAGTGCAATTGCCATTGGGAGACGCGGAGATCAAGCAGTGGCCACCATTTCTAAGCCACCACAAAAGCAGTATGCAATTGCTCTTAGGCAGCGACATTCTGAGCAACCTTCGCCCCGGCTTCCAGGCCATTATATAACGAGATCTCTCCAGCCGGCAACTACCGAGGGACGCATAGCGGCGAACGCCGTACCGACCCCCTGACATGGGGGTTGGTTTAATGTGGCTGTTTCCAACAGGGTACTATTTCTAAATCTGGTTGCCGATGCGGTGATTCGCTCCACGCATAGCAATCGGATTATCGCGCGACCTTTGAAGCCGGACAGGGACACACTTCGATCTATGTATGTCTCTAGACGCTGACCTTTGTATAGAATTTGATGTTGTGCTGGTAAATAGGCGCAATCAACGGAGTGGACCAAGTAGCGAAGAATACAACCCGGTGGCGCTTTCTTGCTAGTAGGATCTTACATTCTGCCTGGCGATTTAACTGTCCTTATATCACTCCATCCATGTAGGATGTGAGGCCTCCTGACCCTCTATTTGCTCGTTTAAGTGGTGCTTGCAAGTTTGATTTGGACTGTTCCGGACAGTAAAGGGGACCGGATGACTTATCAATATGGTGAGACCTCATTGCTTCAAGATGTGAGCATTGCAGGGACTTGCTGCTCTAGAGCAACTTGGCTTCACGATAGTATGTTGGACAATACAACCGGAGTAGGACCCAAATTCACCGTACCGAGAACTAGGCCAAGACAGTTATTGGCATAAGGTGCTCAGAAATGTATCCGAAACGAATCAGATCCAACCTAATTTCGTCAGTCACATCATAGTTTCTCTGGGCTCATCCCGTACTGTTCGAACTTCTCTGGCTAAAGTAGATTACACTGAGTGGTCGACCGTTTCTTTTCTTTATGGGAGTGATATCTTGATGAACACTAAATATACCCAGTTCATCCGGATAGAGTGACGAAGGGAATAGGAGGACGACCAAAAGATTTACATGTCTGGAGCTGGGGAAAATCTGCATAAAGTCTGGCTTCCCATCGATACATGTATCTAAGCCCCATGTGAAGTTTATAGCATCTCACAGACTCAGCTTTACGTAACTAGCGCCAAATATCTTCCTTTTTACCATGGGAGACAATAAATCTAGTATTGGACCCAATATCTAGCCTGCGAGATGAGCGTCTATATTTCAAATCGCACAGAACGACTATTAACACATCGTCACAAGCTCGCACGCCTCCCTTCACATAGCAACGAAAGCAGGTCGGATACTCTGATCACACCAGGTTATGTCGCGCGAATCACCTTATTTCCACGCCTGGCGTGTTGGCAGGACCAAGTGATGGTTATAGAATATGCCGCCAGCGAAGACTGTTCCCCCTGTCCAAGGAGTGCAAACGTTGTTGGTATTCACCCACAGGGCACGGAAATTGGGGTTCTCCTGTTGCTCTTTCAGAAGCTTGATGATATCTTGTGTGTGGCAAGAAAAGTTGTAGTTGGGTGTGGAAGCACCTGCAACATTTGTATTACAGTGAAGGGTCCACTCATGTTTATAGCCCTGTGAGTCAACGGTGATGAAGGTCTTGCCGCCGAATTTTGGGCAAATCGAGGAGAAGTTTTCCCGAGAGATCTCTTGAATCAGGGCCTCATTCTCGGGCGAGGTCGGCGAGATAGATGTGTCCGGATTGGTACCGGTTCCGAGTTCCTTCAACTTCTGGTTGGCTTCATCAAGGGCTTTCTGAAGCTTTTGCTTCTCTGCCTCGAAGGAGGCAGACATCTCCGCTTTTTCTGCTTCACACTGCTTCTTCTTGTTTTCGGCGAGAGCTGCCTTCTCCTGCTCACACTGGTTGACTTTCTCTTGCACAGCGGCCGCAGTCTCAGCCCGACACTTGTCGCTAACACCCTCCTCACATTTTGCTCTGTCCGCGTCACATTGTGCCAGAGTCGAGGCAACCTGCTTGGCACACTCGGCTTTGGCATTCTCCTCCAGAGCTGTCTTGTCCGCGTCGCATCTGGCTGTCGCATCCTTTTCACATTGTGCCTTTCCTGCCTCCACAGCTTCTTCGCACCCACCGCCAGGTTCCGATACAGATACCAATTTTCCAGTCTTCTCGAGCAGGAGCAATGCCTTGATCGGCCTAGCACTATAGGTAGCGGAGGTAATGAAGAAACATTCGCCCTTGCGACTCCACATACTCGCCGGACATTCTGCGTTTGCGGCACAAAGCTGAGCACACTGGCGCGGACTCGTTGCGCTCACGGCAGTCTTTGTGTAGGGGGTTGCCCATTTGTCACAGGAGTAGGTGAACTCGACCCCATCGACAGAGGCCTTGCCGGACTTGCTTCCGCTTGAACAGCACGCGTCGAAGATTGCACGGGGGGAGTCTCCTGAAAGGGCGAGACAGTTCGTTCCACCACCAGTGGCGCCTAGGGGAGTCTGCGCTGCCCAGGCCGCACTGGTGTAGAGGGCTGCCAAAAAAATGGAAGAACTAACCATCATGCTTTGGTTGAGATCGCGGCCAGATTTCAGAAGGAGATTGAGGACAAATGTGAGTGCCGTGTACGTAGTACAACCCTCCTTTCGCAGTGGATGAATCTTAAGAAAGAAGAATAAAATAATTGTCAGGAAACGTCCCTGGGTAAATGACCTATTTCATGTTTAGGACCTCGGAAGCCAGGCTATGTCCTGAGCCAGCCACGGGCATTGCGGGTGGGTACCATATCGCAGATCGCGCGTATAGCAATCACAGAAATGAAGCTGAATGTTTTTCTTGAGAGAAAAAGATGTAATAAACTAAAATAGGTCCACTTAGCTTGTTCACCTTCAATAGTCAACTGCAGCTGGGTTTCCAATGATCATTCAAACTACTCAAATGAGACCGAGACGCGTATAAAGTCTATTTATTGTCTTGCTGTCTGTGACCCGAAGATCCTATCTTCTTTCAGTCGCACTCCCTTTGAGACAAGTGACCTATAATAATACGATCAGTCGATACCATCGGCTCCTGTCAAGTCGGGTTGAAAATACAAGAAATAGAATAATAATAGAAGACAATAGAACAAAACAAAACAGAAAACGTTCACCCCACCTATCCTTCGCCACGACTGTTGAATATCTCTACCCAAGAGATAGGTTTGGAGAAGCCGTCACACACGTCCCTTTCCAAATCGAAGGCCAGCCATGGCTGGTTAAAGTTTGGATTAGCCGAGCCTCTAAGGTCCAGTTCTCCATAATTCCATAAATCTGTGGGTCAAACTCGTAGGAAGGCCCTATCAGTACGGAGTAAGATTGAGTGGAGGCCTCTGAAGTGGGGCTGGACTGCCCAGATCTTTCAGCTCTTCAGCCCGAGCTGATCTCGGTATACCCCTTCTATTGCAGATCCTCGCCTCAAAATCTGTTCCGTGTGGGTTCTTGGATTCGCCTGCAGCAATGTGGTATTATCTACCGAAGTGACACGACAGCACCTCGGCGAGACACGTGCGCTCCGGTGCTCGTCGGGAAGGACGCCTGTCCGTCATGATAGGAGAGAGGAATTCAATATTAAACAGCTGAATACCTTGATGCGAGAGACCGGCCAAGGCTGGTCCCGTCTCTCAGAATATCGGGCTTTCTCTGCACAGCTAGTGGAAATTAAAAAAAAAAAAGAAAAAAAAGAAAGAAAGAAAGAAAGAACAAAACAAAGAAAACCGGCAGGTAAAAAGGGGATTATATATAGGAGATCGAGCAGTTAACAGCAACATGGTAACTAATCGAGATCTGCAGGTTGACGTCAGTGATGCTGAAAGGGTTTAGATTTTAATCCCTGGCGGATACCATGGTTCATAGGATATATGATGCCAGTTTCGGAGATAGACCAAAGATTTGGCGTCTTTTCTAGGCCCAGTACGAACAGTTTGGAAGACGTTGTGTCTGTTTATTTTCAACTAGGCGAAATTGGTATGTGACGTGGTCCTTGATTTGGTATGTCTGTAGCACTGATACATGAATGAAGTACATACGATCTCAACCTGAAGCCACGAGATCATGATCACCGGTCAACGAACCTTTATACTCGGTGTGACTATCATCCAAGACGCAAAGCCAACGCACTCCACCATCACCCTGGAAATCAAGATCGCATTCACGTAAGTGCAAAAAGTAACACAATACCAACGATCACCAGTCCAAACACTACCAGGGAGAGTGTGCCTCCCCCACCTTGTTTCCGCGGGGGAGGAATGCCCTCCGGTGATGATGGGTCATAGGGAAAGGCAAAGGTACTGTAGTTTTGGGACTCTGGGTCTGGGCTGGAGTTGGCGTGTGGGGTCCACGCTGCGGACTTTCCGAGATCAGTCGGCTTGTCCTGCTGTTTTGAGCATGGTTAATAGAGGAACCGGTGTTGAAGCACTTGTGTGAAGAGAGGTCAGAATGTGTCTTCAGGAAAGGGACGACGTACGGCGGTAGAAGACGAAGAGGTCGCCATGGTACTGGTATGTACGTGTGTTAACTCGGAGAGGTCAGGGAGCGCCATGGTGGGGTTCCGGGGTTAATTAGTAGTGGTTTCTGGGGTTCATTCGGCGGAGGATCCACGTGGCTGATACTTTATCACCTGAGAGGGCTTCTTGACGGCATCGGGCTGATGATCTACAGAGCCAAGAGCGATTCTCGCCTGGTGACCGTGTACGCCTGACGGGATGTCAACGGAATAATTTTGGAGGAGCGCCAGCATCTCACTGCGTGAAGCTTGTTCTTCCGCCGCTGCATCTTCTGGTTTTATGCCCCACAGCTGCGAACGCCTCCGTGCTGTTGTATCTTGAGCCCCTTGACAATATCGTCTAATCCACCCAACTCCCGAAGGAAACTTGCCCGAAATGCTCCTGTTTGAAGACACCGTAGAAGACACTCAAGGTTCGTTTTCCACGTTGCAGCCTCCTACAATCTCTCTCCATCGATGTGCTGAAAGTCATTCTGGAGTTCAGCCTTGACGGCGTAAATTCTCACCAAAGACTTGGCAGGCTGAACGGCATACAGACCCACGCTCGACGAGGCTCCATAGATAAAAGCCGGAAAAGGTTCTTGGACGGGATCGGTAGCATCTGGCACGTCTAGCCAATTTCATGTCTTAATGTCAACGGTTGATTAAGTTAAAAGGCCCCAGTTCTGCCGGCGAGTCGTTCTTCTACACTATAGACTACCTTGACAAGGCTTTTGGTGCCGAGGCAGTAAGACATCTCCACTAGAGTGATCCCACCTAGACTAGATGAAAATACACGGTGCTTAAAACCAGCCGCATCATGTAGGCTAAAAATATCTCTGTGACTCCACGAACTACCACTGGGCGTAAGATATGGCACGCACGGAAGACATGGACGAGTTAACAGAGTTTTGTGTCGAATGGAATATCTATCGGTCAGCCAAGAAAGCCAAGCAATGGAATACGAGAGACCATGACTCACCCTGTGGCTATTAGTATGCCCATACGGTTGGGTGTGGTGAAGGCAGAGCTTTGACGTAAACCTCTCTGTATATGGATAGCCAGGGCAGCCTGATGGAACGAACAGGCATGGACGGTCAGGCTTTGGCAGCCTGGGAGAATCATGCTAGATCCTGGGATGAAACGATGGGCAATGACGGGAACGACTACTTCTCGGTCCTCGAGTTGCCTGTCCTGCAACGAATGATCAGTGGACAGACGCGCAATCGTGCCTTGGACCTCGCGACGGGGAATGGCCTGGTTGCACGATGGCTTGCTCAAGAAGGATTCTCTGTCGTCGCGACGGACGGCGCCACCGCGATGCTAGAACATGCAAAGGCGCGAACAGCTATCTGGTACCAAGAAGGAAGGCTGGACAAAGAACGCAAGATTTCCTTCAAGCTGCTTGATGTGACCAACAAAGATCATTGGGCGCATTTCATTGACGGTGGTAACCTTCTGGTTCGTCGTTGTTTTACCAATTGGAACATGTTCTGCTAGAGGCCGAAAGCGAAGACGATGCCCTGGCTAACACGTTGTAGGAAGACGGATTTGATGCGATTGTGATGAACATGGGGATTATGGATGTTCATGATCTGGAACCATTAGCAGTATCCTTGACATCCCTTCTGAAGCAAGACGGATGGTTGGCCCTACCTTTATTCGAACTACCGCGTTGATCTCTGAAAGCCTCGTCTTCGTGCTGACATGCTACAGCTTCATTGCGACTGTGCTTCACCCTCTATTCTTTACGAGTGGCGCGAAGCGCCAGATCACAGTCCATGAGGATCCTGTGACTGGCCAACGCGTAATAGACCGGTCCATACTGTTGAGCCAATACCAAAACGTGGCCCCTGCACGGCAACTCCTATTTTCTAGTGATAGCGAGCATCAGCCGCCGGTAGAACTCTTCCACCCTCACCCTCCGCACGCCGAAGAACTAATGATGCCCGGGTAGATCTCATTCCACAGGTCGTTCCAAGATCTATTTGCCCCGTTCTTTCGGGCTGGCCTCATCCTGGATGCCCTTGAGGAAGTGAACTTCGATGATACCTTCCGCGAGCCCTCGCGTGAATATGCAGCGAGGAATTTCACGGAATTCCCGAAGATACTCGCCTTTAGACTCAGACGCGGGCATGGACAGAGTGAGCGCCGTTAAACGGATTCCAGTCGTGGTTCAAGTGGCTCAAGGACTATTTGGACTTTTTCTCGGCGGTCGGATAAGATCACCATTACCATAGGACGACCTTAGATACTGGTCCATCTATATAAACGTGATATAGCTGATCCTAATCTACGTTCTTATATTAACCCTATTGACTGCTATCAACATCAGACTTAAGAATACCGTGACCGCTTCTATTGGCGTCTTGTATCATTTTACAATGTTTAACACTCTTCGATTTCCAAATGGGCCTGACGGCTACAGAGGATTCAGATAGCGGCATTGATGTACGATGGGTGACCCCTTCTACTTAAACCTCGATCCATTTGAGGAATGCGGGACATTCATAGCCTTCCACGACTTTAGAGATCGGGGTCAAGTATGCGTCAGAATCGTCCTGGGTTTGTTGTACATGCCGAACATAAGCCTGAGCGACTTTCAGCCACAACGCCTTCTCGCGTTCACTGGCACCCGACCCTTGCCAGACCCACAGTCGGCTGCCCACGTCGTATAGGAATACATCGTTCCCGTCCAGGTCCGACCGGCGAACGGGCCCGCCATCCTTGACGAGATTGAAGGAGGGCGTGCCCGAGGCGTCGCTGAGGCGGAATAGTTTGGATGGACGCGCCGCACCGCTCGCATCGTGGGATCGCTGGGAGAATGAGACCGGACGGGGAGCCTGGAATGAGAGTTGGCCCACCCCCTTACCCCCTAACAGGTCGACGAAGATCTTCGATCGCGACTCCAGTTGGGATAGAACTTCCACGTCGACGTGCTTCGCCAGCGTCATGTCGTTCACCACTTGAGCGGCCTTGGCCTTCTCCATCGGGCTACAGGTCTTGCCCTGCCAAACCCAGATCTTGTCGCCCTTGTCCAAGACGAAGACGTCTTTGTCGTCGAGGCTCTGCCAGCTGGGTGCCACCTCGTACACAATAATGGAGTCAATCCGGCCCGCGCCCGGATGCTTGAAGACGCGAAGCAACGTCGTCACCTCCTTGGGGGCTTCTTCTTCCACGTGGTTGAATCCGGAGGCGACGCCGCCAGACCGGATTGTGATGCGACGGAACAGCGACACGAAATCCTCGGACGGCTGCTGCTGGACTTCCCGATGCTGGGTCGCGGCTCCGTGCAGGAATTCGTCCAGCTCCACCGTCTTGTACGCGGCGGTGCCCGCCTCGTCCTGGGTGGTTTTGCTGCCCAGCCAGAAAAAGATGTCATGGCCGAGTTTGTCATCTCCGACTTTGTACGAGTGCAGCACGATGTAGCTGTCTCCGTCGTAGAACTCGCCCGCCCGGCTTTTGGGCCAGGGCACGACCTCGAAGTTTTCAATCCGCCAGATCCACAGTCCGGCCTCCTGTCCGATCTGACCGTTTTTCCAGGCTGGCTCCGTGGCCGCCGAATTGTACTTGACCCGATGGTCCAGGTCGGATCCGATCAGCTCCACATTGCTGTCTTTGATGTCATATTCCTTGGGGTGCACTAGTCCTTCGTGAGGCGCCATGGTGAGTTAGTCGGTTACCTGGAGGTCGTTCTGTTTATCTCTGGAGATTTGTTGGCGGGAAATCTTGCCAATGACGCACGCGAGTGGGTCCAGTGGCTGGCCCGATGGCGGGGTAATTCGAATCGTAATGAGTAAGAGACTCCAGGTAGGAGACGAGGCGACACTGCAAGCAATGCGGAGGTGGTGCTTCAGTCTTTGCCACCGTGGTAGGATTGTCTGCTGGATCCTCTCTGGGCCAGATGGCATGCACTGGGGACCGTCAGAAAGCCCCTTACATGGTGGTCACGTGATATCGTCAACATAGATCCTGAGATCCGGCTGAACCATGGGGATCATCTCGAATGACACTTGTATAGTTGTAGTCACGGCGAGAAAGAGTCTGTACCAACTACTCTGGTTACTCCTCTCACCTCACGGTTGCGCACACGTGACTGAACCGACCCTACAAGGCCCTCATGTTGGAAGAGTCATTGTATATATTCCAAGTATGGAACGCCTATATTCTTCTCAACAGACTTCCTTAGCTAACCACCACCAGGAGTCCTGACAAATCTTATTTGGTAACTATTCGATACGAGCCAGTATCATGCATTCACTGCAACTACCGATTGAATTGAAGCTGTATCGGAAATCTGTTCCGCTTCTATCGCATTTAGAATAGACACAAAGCATATAAAGCTGTACCCGATATCCACAACTTAAGACGATTGCTTGATTTCCTGGGCAACAACATCCTCCAATGTCTGCACCGGTGGCTCGCCAATTAACGCGTTGTCTCGTTGATCGTAGAGAGTGCCTCCTTCGGTCCAGATCCGTCGCAGTGTCAGTACCGTCGCGTCGGGTTTGCCTGCCGTCCAGGCTCGGATTCCGCCTCACGCAATTGGGAGAGCGAGGTGTACTGAACATCAGGCCACGGCTGGCCACCTGTCTGACGCACAAACTCGGCATGAATGTCGGCCGGTGTTGTGGTGAATGAATTGACCTTGAGTGCGCGGTTGAAAGCCACGGAGGGGTGTCGTAACGCCGCCAGCACGAGCGTTCCAACACTAAACAACCGACCTCGTTGAGTTCCATGGCATGGGCTGTGAATCTATAACTTGGGTGACTTACTCTGTCATCGTGGTCAAACTCACCCTCGCGCTGCCAGCTTCTCCTAGCAGGGTCGCTTTCTTGCCCTTCACGTCCCACCCACCCGCGATCGGATTACCAGCAAAATGAACATACATGTCGGAATATGGGCCTGTCACGACATACGTGTACGCTAAATCGGATACCGTCCCTTCGGTGGGGTTCTCATTCTCCAAGAATGCCCGTACCTTTAATTTCTGTTGATGCGGCTGTTCCTGCGCCGACGCAGGGGAGTACTTAATATCGGTGCCATATTCGGAGGGGAAGAACCATTTCACAGTAGGAGAGGCGTCGGCGAGACGGATGAGAGGGATTTGGGAAGCTATTGCGCCCCGACCCAAAGCCGAGATGACGGTATCAATTCCTGGTATGCATTAGTAAGGGACTGCCTTTCGATTGAGCCGGAAGCTTCGTTTAATCGAGGCCATCATGGCCATCTTCATTCATGGCTGCTTTCACAAGGAAATATGAGTGTAACGCAGTGAGCAGCGACGTACCTTCGTACGCCTTCTTCACGGCATCTTCATCCTGCTGCAAGTCCCCGACGAGTACCTCAACATTCTTGGAGCGTTTCAAATCATCCAGGAAATCTTTCTTGGCAGCCGCGGTGGCCAGCGAAGTGAAGATAGCGACCCGGTCGAATTCCTCCCGTGCGGCAAGAATGGCGTCTAAAATGTAGGAGCCAATGTTCCCGGTGGCGCCGAAGAGCAGGATGTTTTTGGGTTTGAACGAAGTCATCTTGTCATCAGTCTCTGTCGATATCCTCCGTGCATGTATGTAGAGGCATCTTTGATAACTCGCCGTATACCAGCTGATCTTCATCCTGCGCCCTGATTATTAATCCTCATCCACCTTCGGTGCGGGGTTTGGCCCAATTAAAACTAGTATAGAATATAGTGGAGCGATGGTGGAATCGGTGGGAAATTCGTGTCGTGGCCATGGCTTGACCTAATTCTCCGCTACGTGTGGAGCTTGAGGCTCGCGGTGGACGGTGAAAGCCCCCAAAGGCTACTCACAGGAGTCACAGCCAAATTGACTCCAATGCGTAGTCCTGGACAATGACATAGAGCGAAACTGAGGACCGTATGAATGCGACACTCATGGCTTATGGACTACCCGGTACGATTTGATCATCAACTCATATATTTGCAGGAGGTTCAACTGCTATTTGACCTATGCTTTCTGTCTTTAGGATCCCCATGACCGAACAATGGCAGGCAGTCTCAAACTAGAGTCGTCGTGGTGGCATTCCAATCGGAAGCAAACTGTCTACCGTCAGCATCCGTATCTCAATGGAGTCGTTGTATGGATAGGCGGCCTTACGTTCCATGCATCAATACGAAGCAGTGACGAGTTGGAGGTCTTCTCGACATTGGTCAAGACACCGATCGCTAAGGTCCCCCGTCAGCAACGATAATGTGGCATGCTACCAGCCACAGAACCGACTTACCAACAATATTGTTTAACCAGTAATATTTCTCACTGCCAGTCTCAAACACTAACCGGAGATGCAGCTGGCCAGAGGGAGACTTCGGGCCCGAGGTCTGGATGAAGATATTCTCGCCATCATGCGTCCGTAAGTTGTAGCGCGTGTCCGCCGAGAACACATTGCTTTGAGGATCAATCAACCCCCAGTCGGCACCGACATCGAGAATTTCCCCTGACATGGTGTTAGTGTGTGATACCTATGAACTCATCATGGGGTCGCTACCGGAAAGAAGGGGGCCGGTGAAGTTTCCTCCGACGATGGGGATGGCTTTGCGGATTCCACGCGGGCCGGGAGATTCCATGAGAGTGCCTTCACATTTCACATAGGCTGTGTAGAGAAAGCTCAATTCGGGGGTGGTTGGATATGCAGGTGATGCCGCAGCTCCATGCCCGGCTTGAGACAGGAGAAGGAGCGGCAGGAGAGTTTTTTTCACGAAGGACAACATGTTGCGCGTGGATGCTGAGGCAAACGATATCGAAATCTGGGGTACCCCGCAAGTATAAGTATGTTCATTCGATGGTGGAGCTCGAATACCGTAAACATTATCCGGATCTGCCGCACGGGTCCTCCTAGTCGTCTATCTAGCGTTCGGCACTTGCTGGCTGGGTTCATTACCATGGATGCCTCGGTTGATCCGCCGCTAGGAACTCCATTTCCGAGAGACGCTCCACACAGAGCTATAAGATTGGTACATGAATGCTGTTGTTCTCTCAATACGGCATGCGAAAGACCAGAAACTGCCAGAATTCCCACATACGGTGATTAGATACATGTATTCCCGCTAAAACATGCCATGCCTTTGGTCGTTCCCTTCGACATCAACCTTGCTCAACTACCGGTAGATCCAAGTCGGAATTTCCTCCATAAATACTCGTACCCCGCCTCAGAAAGTGGCCTTTCCGAGGTTGGATGCGAAGTTCGCATCCTTGAAGGGAACATTGGCATCTCCAAAGTCCGTGTTCTCCAACGCCGTACTGGCAGCGGTAGGGAGACTCTCCCAGGCGATCAAGGGCTGCGTACCACCAACAGTGGATGTCAGCCCACATTGGTGATTCACTGGCCAGGTACTGTAGTATTGAATCAATGGGCTGGTGCCATCCAGACTGTAGCCATCGGTCGAACAATCCCAGCCCCCATGTGCCGATGGACAGACCGCCACAATGTTATCGGCGGACGTGGAGGTCGAGTCGGACAGCCAGACAATAACACCTTCCCAATCATGGCGGTGGCCTAGGCCAGTCGATGGCTCGTCCTTGGGGAAGTACCAAGAGTACATGAGGGCATAGTAGTCCCCGGACGTGCCGCCTCTCACATAGATCTGACCGGTACTGCTACTGCAACCCCCACTAGAATCCCCAGTAGGCTCGAGACCGGCACTGTTGACGAGGATGAGTATGCCATGATATCATTTGTGGTGTACATGAAAACGGTCTGGTGAATGGGGGAGTAACTCGGAAACCTACTTCGTATTGCCCTCGGCATCTACCGCTGGGAAGGGCACGCAGCCATTGACCACATACAAAGCCGGTTGGTAAGCCAGATACACCTCTCCGGTGGTGCCGCTGGGGACGGTCTGGTCAAATCCCACAACAGCATCATGGTCGATACTGGTTCGCGGAAGCACCGCACCTCGAGCGTGGGATCCCAGCAGAGCGGTAGTCAAGAGGAGCGATGATTTGCGAAGCATGTTGAAACAGATAATTAATTGTACTAGTCTACCAATGATATCTGTACGGGTTGGGCGACATCTGGCGGAGTACTTATACGTTTATCAGCGTCCGACACAGCAATAACCTGGTCTATCTACGTGTCTCCCAGACTGTCAGTGAGCTCCCAGGCATCTCTTCGGACAAATTCTTTCCGAGTTGCCAAAAGTACCGAATTGCTTGGCCGAATCCCGGCAAACGTGGCGGATTTCATGATGCTCAGTGGATGCTTGGCAATTTAGTTAGTCTACCTAAAACACACCATCGACCTTAGCTCGCGTCCTGAAGAACACCGGGAGGTAGAGATCGCCATTCATGCGTTCCGATGTAGAGACCTGATAGGTCGCAAATTGCCAATGGCTTGGAAAATAAACGAACACGGATGACACGGGCCACAGAATTGAAAGATAATTAATATATACAGATCAAGACCGCCTTCGCTATCTATCGTGATAACGCGAGCAGCCAATAACAACACCATCATGAGTCGTGTGCAGATTCCCATGTCGACGGACACCGCAGCTACAATGCAGAATGGAGGGGTATAAAATCAAGCTAGCAGGGTCGGAAATTAAATGTCTAGCAGGTCGCCGAGTCTTCAGTGGCTCTCCTGCGGCAAGCGTTGTTATAGGATATCGAGAAGGATGTTGTCATTCGGCACCACGGACCATTCAATAACATCGTGCTCTGTGTCACTCAGCCCAGCCGGAGACATCGCATCCCCACATGCTATTCGAGAGGCTGGCTTCACGTTCACCTGTGGGTCGCAATGGAGTATCGAATCCGGGCTATGGGTCGTTTCCGTAGAGGCCGGTGAGGAGGGCACGGGAGAAGGATACAACTCTGGCGGATGGGATGCCCATCCGCGCTTTGCGGCCAATATCGACTCGAGTAGCATATCTGGCTCAGCGCCGGGGAATAGAAACTTGAAGGCGGATTCGAGGTGCACCACGCGCGATTCCAGATAGCTCACATACCAGCGTTGCAAGGGGCTTCGGACCTTCTTGGGAGGGTATGTGCATGGTCGACCGGATTCACGGCAGTCGGTACAGGATGGTCTATCCTTAGAACACTGCGCAACGTCTATCAGACTATAGACGAGCCAATGAGCTGGGCAGTGTATACCTTCTGCTTCCGGACTCGGCACTCATTGCACTATATTTCAACGGTTACTTTGCGCTCGACAAGCACTCTTCCCAGGACGTTGCGTACCGCATAAAATCGTGGGTCGCGGCTGTTGATCATGTTGCGCCTGACGGTACTTCGTCGGTGTGTCTCCATTTCGTTTCGCCTCGACGCTCGAATCGGTCTGCTTGTTGCTAGAGTCTCGAGTAATTATAACTAAACGATCTCCCAAGAACCGTTTGTGATCACGAGGCCCCGACCCATGCTGTATCCATGATTCTTGTCAAATCCCAATAGTAGGTGTATTTAGTTGGTTTCCCATGGAAATCCGAGGACTCGCCGGGTCCATGTGGAGAAATCCGACGCGAATCCGCTTCCACCCACGTCCCGACGCTTTTCCGAACGACGTTCAAAAGGCAGCGTGTGATGATACAAGAACGAGATGCCAGCGATTGGGATCTCTGTCGTTTTGCTAGGGAAATAAATCGAGCCCAAGGAAGCAAGGCGGCCAGGACGGGGGAGGCAATGGGGGAGGCGCATTATGCATGATTCCGTCTGTGCAGACACAACGGACGGTAGGCTTGTCTAGTGCATGGCCCAGCAGTAGAAGCATGCGAGCACCGTTAGAGTGCTCGAGAATAATCACCGTCTGGGGGGATCCTCCAGGATCCTCCCCTCCCCCTCCCCCGTGAGGCAGATGCTGAGGGTGTATCATTCATGGTTGACTCTTCGTATAAATTCCCCCGGATCAGCCCGCCTTGGCAGCTCTCGCCTAATTTCCGCAGAAAAATGCTTCCACTTCGACCTCACGGCAGTTGCTCGTCCTGAGCCACGCAAGCATACCAGATGTGATCTTCTACCGGTCACTATCCGACCCGTCAGCGCCCAGCGTCCCTCTCCCTATCCCTGTTCTCTCTCCTCTTTTTATATTGTTCGAGTGGCTTCTGCGGTCCTTCCGCACCTCCCGACATGCAGGCGGAAATGCTCGCCGCCAGCGACGAAAGTCCAGCCCGGAAGATACGTAAAGTCACCCGCGCTTGCGATGCATGTAAGAGAAAGAAGAAAGCCTGTACCGGGTATCTTCCGTGTAGACCGTGCCTAAGACGCAAGGAGGTTTGTACATACAACACCACCTATAACCGCGGCGTCGCCGTGAGCCCACCCCCATCCTCGCATACGACCCATCACACAACCCTACAGGGAGCAACAGAGAACTATCCACAAGACAGCCATCTGCCGTTCTCCTCCCCAGCTTCCTACACCTCACCGGGTAAGATCCTGTCGGCGCCCTACCACGATGCCCCCGCCTCCGTGATCTCTCCGCCGTCCATCACGGACACAAGGCATCATCATCATCATGAGCCCGAGCTCCAGCGGGCGCAAGTGGCGGATCAGTACTGGGGACCTACCTCTGCTCATTCCTTCTTAGATCGAGCCGCCTTGGGATTGCCAACGCCTCCATCAAATGCGATCGGGGCTTCGCATGATCCCAGTCATGGCCCGGCCACGTCCATATTTCAATTTGGCGATCGCGTGGTGCCAGAGTCACGCGTGACAGAGTTCCAATGGCCAGACTTCGAGACGGCGGAAGCTTAGTTCATCGATACTTCGAGTTTGCGTCCCCGACGCACCGGGTGCTTCACCAGCAGACGGTTGAGAAGACCGTCCGACGCCTCTACCAGTGCGGACGACCGGGCGAGGACCGGATCGGTGGAGTGACGAGTGTATGCCAAGCCATTCTCCTGATGGTGTTCAGCACCGCCACCATGTTTAAGATGGATATCAAAGGCGCGATGACAGATGCCGATGAAGACGGCTGGCGGACCAGTGAGCTCTATTTCACGAAGGCGGACGACCTGCTGTCACAGGAAAGCGGTGCACCCAGATTAGAGTCGGTGCAGGCCAGATTCTTAATGGTTCTATACCTACTCAGCTCATCACGGGCTCATCGGGCGTGGTTCACTTTAGGAACCGCCATTCAGTTGATCATGGCCCTCGGTCTCCACAGCCGACGGCGGAATAGGGACACGCCCGAAGTAAATCTCATCCAGCAGGAATGCCAACGCCGAGTCGTCTGGTGTTCGTATACGTTGGACAAGTACCTGAGCTTGATGTTGGGTACGCCGCGTCTGTGGCATGATGAGGATTTGGACGAGAGACTGCCTGCCCGGGTGAACGATGAAGATATCTCCCCCGATCGTATCTCGCCGCCAACGCGAGACTGTGTCATGGATGCGGCTATATTCCATGCCCTGCTCGCCCGCGTACTATCTCAAGCCGCCAAGGAGCCGTATGTGGTAGCGGGCATCACCGACCGAGAGGAGATCAATATCATCCGGGGGTTGTGCGAGCGAGTGGCGGAATGGCATGCAGAGTTGCCGCCATGCTTATCGGGAGTCATCCATTCCAGTAGCCTGATCCCCCTGTTCAAGCGACAACTGACGGTGCTGCAATTGGCGCGATACCACGCGCTCATGTTCATCACTCGGCCGCTGCTGTTGCGGAATTATGGCCAAATCTGGACGGATCGGGAGGCCAGCTACGGTCAATATCTTCGCGTGTGTCTCATGGCGGCGAAGGACACCGTTGAGCTGATCACCACCTTTGCCAGAGACAACCAGCTCTTCCCGGCGTTTTGGTACTCGCAGTATATCGCCTTCAATGCCTTGTCGATCATCTACATCTACTTGATCCAAGTACGGTGTAACCGAATTCTACCGCTCAGCCAGACCTACGTCGCGCCGGAAGGTGGTCTCAACCATGGGCTTGGCTTTGATGAGTCCACGCTCTACATCCTGGCGGAGACTGCACAATATCATCTCACACATGCGACGGCCAGGAATGCACCATCCTGGAAATACGGAACTATTCTGCAGAGTCTACGGCGAGAGCTTGAGCGGTTAGGAGCACCATGCGACTACGTGGCATTGAATGCGCCCCCAGAACAACACGGCGGGCCCAGGATAGAGGACAGGAACCTGGATAATACAGCGTCAGGAGGCAACATTTCTCATACTCATCCGGAGCCTCGCTACCATGAACCCTTTCCTGTCGATGCGCAGACTCTGCCGTTATTCGATACTTTCACTCTGGACAATGACTTGATTCTTGATTTGTGGTCGCAGTTGGATAGTTTACCAATCAGTGCGTATCCTGCTTGCCAGTCTTCTGTATCACTCAAGCTAACAGTCGCCTATCTAGCCTTGCCGGGATAGCCATGTCTCTTCATCTACTATATACAACGGTTCACCAGAAGGTTCGTCTCTAATTCGATCCTGGGCTGCCATATATAACGCATGAGCAATAACACTCTGACTACTACCCGCGTAGGCCTCTACATGAATGTCCTAGAATAAACCAGTAAGGAATCATAAGGCCAAGGAGAATCTCCAGATTATATTCACAAGTGACTCCTATTCCTATGGGACAGCAAAGCCCCGCTCTGCAATGCCCGCTAGGGTTAGTCTTTGTGATTGCCTAGAAGATGTATTTGTAGCGTATTTGGCCATCCTCATCCTCCGCTTTTTGCGCCTTGGTGTTGAGCCAGTGGAGGTAAACCGCCAACAGAATTGAAAAACAAACACCTCCCGCAGCAAAGCTGGACAGGATGATCCCTCCTGGTCGGTACTGCGGCGAGTCCTTGGTTGGGAAGAAATACGAGCCATAGATGTTGGACGAGTTGCCAAAGAAATTGACCATGGCGTAAACAATGGCTCTCTTCGTTCGTGTCCGTGGAATAGTACTGGCAATCCAGGCTTGCACCACGTTGAACGCGCTGTAGGACCCCATGCACATAAGGAACATGCCAATATAACGCACAGCTGTGGCGTGGGAGCTGATGACCATCACATTTCCCACGATGTCAATGCAGAGCGGCCATACTATGAGAATGGCTCGGTGATTTGTCCGGTTCGCAATAAGGGAGTTGCCCAGGGCACTGAGGAAGCCAAAGACATACACGGGCGCCGTGATAAGCAGGGTAACGATCTTCCCGAAGCCAAGGGTTTCCACGATGCTCTAGATATAATTCGTCAACAGGAGCGAAGTGACAAGACAGCCGCCGGCAGGACTCACCGGGAAGAAATATGTCCAGGTTTGGGACGTCAGCTGGCAGATCTGGATTGAAACCAATGCCCACACTTTGGGATCTGTCACCGCATCCTTCAAGCCTTGCGAGATCGAGCCGTTTTCGTCGACCTCGTTATTTGTGGCGACGGCTAGGCGCCACTCAGCAAAGCGCTGCTCCTGCTGCGTTAACCACTTTCGCTGGCCGGAACGAGGAAAGTCAGGGAGTAAAACCACCGCCAGCAACCCAGCCACCATCGTGCCAGCGCCCTCGATAATGAATAGCCATCTGAAGAAAAGGATAGTGAGCCAATGGAACCACGTCTTGCCATGATATGTTGGAGCTCACCTCCATCCCGCAAGCCCACCTTTGCCGTCTAGCCCGCTCAGGATACCAGCGGCCAGCATGCCGCCAAATCCATTTGCAACGGTATTTCCACAGTATACAACGGCGACACGCACTGCCAGCTCAGAGGCCTTGTACCAGGAACTCATTAACAACCTGGAAATCGTGTCAGCGGGAGAGAAGGTAGCAGCCGTCGCCTGACAGGGAGGGACATACAAAGCACCCGGGAAGAAGGGAGACTCAGCAAAGCCTAGAAAGATTCGTACGCATAGAATACCAGCATAGTTCTTCGTTGCAGCCAAGCAGATGGAGATTCCGCCCCACACAAAAATAGCGGCCGGGATATAGCGCGACGGCCTCACACGGGTGAGGATAATGTTGCTAGGAACTTGGCCGAGAAGATATCCAACAAACTGGACACATCAAACGGATTAGTCGTGAACATAAGATAGTGTTCGTGTTTGTCTCTTACCATTACGGCCACGGCCGTCTGGTACTGGGTGTCAGAAAGGCCCAAATCCTCTTGTAGTCCTCCCAAGCGGGCGTTCGCGATGTTCGATCGGTCGAGAATGTTAAAGATAAACAGCAAGAATAAAGCCGGGATTAAGTGAAAATCGATCTTGCGCACCACTGGTCTAATCAGTACGGTGCGTGAGGCCGAATCGAATGTGCTCACATTGTTTTTCCAACTTCAAGGCTTCCTCGTCCGAAAGTCCCTCGAATTGGACCGCTTCGGGGGTTATTGGCTTAACAGGGCTCTCTACATGGGAAGAAGATGATTTCGAATCTATGTCTGCCATGACCGATTGACCTTCCTTCTCCGCTCCGTCTGTGGTTGGGTTACAAGGCGTGATTATGTGGTTGAATAGAAAGGGAAAGGAATGGGAGAGGAGGCAGATTCCAGATGGCCACAGTTTCTTTCCTTGACAGCGGCTGGCAAGGGTTCATATATGAAAGGCACCTCCGCATACATAGTCCCCCGCCCACTTACGCCCGTCACATAACCCCAGATTTGTGACAGGCCCAATTGAAATGACATTAGGCGACGGGAAACGTCCGGATATGGACCACCTCCCCTTGGATCCATATCCCTGTGGAGAAATGGTATTTGGTGACAGCGCGGGGATTATGGAGAGGCTCCGAGGCTACTCAACAAGACTGGCCCAGGAGACATCGTTGACGATCGACTCCAGCAGTGAAAAGCTTTTGGCCGTCAAGCTTCGCCAACCTCCTTGGCTGAAAGCCACTGCGCGAAGCAAGCCGGGTAGGGTTTTACCCGTGCAGTTGCCGAAGCCCTCCCAATCTCCCCTATCACCATGAAGAACTGCATCTTAGTTAGCTCGTCGGTAGCCGGCTATCACGCAGCGGACGAAAACCACTCCTGCGGAGAAGTAAACCGTCATAGACTTAGGCTGCTTTTCCGCTATGCTTTTCCGCTCATCTTGTCGGAAGGCGGAATTCTCCACTTCCCTGCTAGTAGTTGGGAGCCCTTCAGCATTAAAGAAGTCTGGGGATTGCTATAACTGGTTGAGTATTTATTAATCTCGCTGTTTTAATACTGCACATTGCCTTGCGAGCTCTCTCTCTCTCTCTCTCCATTCACGACACGCATTTCATCTCACAATGTCACTCCCAACGCACTTCACGCTCAATACCGGAGCCAAAATCCCTGTGGTAGGGTTTGGCACCTGGCAGGCCAAGCCCCTCGAGGTCGAGAATGCCGTGGAAGTGGCACTTAAGCAAGGATATCGACACATTGACTGTGCTGCTATATATCGCAACGAGTTGGAAGTTGGCAACGGAATTCGCAAAGCCGGCGTCCCTCGGGAGGAAATCTTCATTACCGGAAAGCTGTGGAATACGAAACATGCGCCGGAGGATGTCGAGGCTGCTTTGGATAAGACGCTCAAGGACCTAGGTGTTAGCTATCTGGATTTATATCTGATGCACTGGCCCTGGTAAGACCCCGTCAATATTGACTCGTACCATGAAAATCCCAAATCCTAACACGAATCTAGTGCTTTCAAATCTGGTGACAAGTGGTTTCCCCTCAACGAAGACGGCGTGTTCGAGTTAGCGGATGTCGACTACATCACCACCTACAAGGCCATGGAGAAATTGCTATCGACAGGGAAGGTGCGCGCAATTGGTGTCTCTAACTTCACCATTCGCCGCTTGGAAGAGCTCCTCAGTCAGGTTTCAGTCGTCCCAGCCGCCAATCAGATCGAAGCTCATCCTTACCTGCAACAAGCAGACCTCCTTCGGTTCTGCCAAGAAAAGAAAATTATTGTGGAGGCTTACTCGCCTCTGGGAAACAACCAGACCGGCGAGCCACGGGCGGTCGACGACCCTTTGGTACACAGCGTTGCCGGAGAACTAAGCATGGACCCTGGCCCACTGTTGGCTAGCTGGGGGGTCCAGCGTGGCACTGTGGTCCTGTCCAAGAGTGTCACCCCGTCTCGGATTGCGGCTAACCTCCAAGTGAAGCACTTATCGGAGGATGCGTTCGCCCGCCTTTCCTCCCTCGAGCGCCACAAGCGTTTCAACTTCCCCGCTTTCTGGGGCTACGATATTTTCGAGGAGGTGGGCGAGGAGGCTGTCCGCAAGGCGGCGCTAGAGGCGGGTCCTGTGAACAAGACCAAGTTCACCGTATAGACAGAGTTTGGTTATATTAGGCATTTTCTTCATTGGTATCCACCGGCTTGGATATATCTCGTCTTTGTTAACAGTCTGGAGCTGAGTGGTCCTGGTCACACTTGTACATGAAATTAAATGGAATGACGCAAAATAGAGCTAAATGAGATGTTTATGTAAACACAACCGCACGATGATTGGGCAGGTAGCCGGTAACCTCAGATTCAATACACGGTGACTGCAGACAGCCCTTCACTTTACCAACCACCGGGGCCTCCGGGACCAGGAGGTCCTCCTGGTCCTCCGCCAGGGCCTTCTGGTCCACCCGGGGGCCCATCAGGGCCACAACAATCTCCACAGCAGAAGCAGCAGCAGCAGCAGCAACTATTCGTAGTCTGATTAGTCTTCGGTAAGAGGGAAGAGATTCAAGGGACGATGGCTCACTCGTCTTCAGGCCCACCACCACCGCGCAGCTGTAACTGCATATCTTCCGTCGATGTCTGTTATCAACAGTCAGTTAAGCACAATCTAATATCGGCCAACACGTGTGCAGCAAACGTACAGGTTGATTGTTGACAGCCTTCTCGGTTGTTGGGGCGGCCGGACTTGAGGGTTGGGTCATGGTCAAAGTATTAGGATCCCAGGTGGGTTGAGCATTCTCCTCCGAGCCCTGTGTGTTTGACGTGCCAAACCAACTGAAAAGACCTTGGCCGAACATGATGCTATCTCTTTCAGATTAAATTTGCCGTCCCTTTGTCCTCGTTCCTGGTCGCTATAGCAGGGGAGAGTGGTCCCTCTTAAGAAGGACGTGTCCAGCAAACTCCACTATTGACTACTGCCGACGATGGATAAAGTCTTAGACTAGGCAACTGCTTATGGTGCTACAAGATTTCAAACGACCTTATTTCGTAGCTGAAGCTTTCCCCACTATGTGGATCCGAAGTTTCTTCGAACTTACGTATGCCTTCGACTGTAGGGCTCGGGCTGGATCCGGCGTCGGCCTATTTAGCCTACTGCCTCAAAAAAAAAAGAAAAGAAAGAAAGAAAAAGAAAAGTGGGAGGTGTGAATTGAAACGAAGAGGAAGACATGCTTGCAGTATCTCTGAATGATAGATGGTAGCAGTGATCGGTCTCAACGCAAGGCTTGAAAGTTGTGCAGAGAAACTACAAGATGATATGGATCTACCTACGCTAACATCTACGAGAATATAGCATACTCCTTGGCTATAGAGGGTTAGTGGAGGCTAAACAGTACTAGAGAGCATAGTAGTGACACTAATTGAGTCACTAGCGCTGTGATCGAACTCATTGCCGAGAATGCCAGGGAGAAAGGCAGAGATCGACTGAATCTGATTCGAAAAAGATGAAGACGTTGTGGCGCCTGACCATGATTGGTCCGTGTATTCACGACTAGCCTGTTACAGTAATGGAATAGATGTCTCCGCTGAGTAAGCCAAGCGGACCAATCATAGCGACCATCATAGCCACAGCCCCAGATTCAATTATGGCGTAGCTTTAAACAAGAAGAATAGTAGGAGAAGGAGTAGGAGTACAAGAAGTACAAGATACTGTAGTATAAGACTCAAATTGAAGCGATGGTCGTATAAAGATGATCGACCAAGATCTTCTAAGAATAAGAACAGTGGCCAATACCTGCTTTCGTACTGATCACCGCGCCCGAAAATATATCTCCTGACAGCGTTCAACACCGCTAAATCAAAAATCACATTGTTGAGCAGCCATATGAGACGTGGTTGAACACCACAGCAATATAGATGGTCAAACCGTTAATCAGGACCGAGCGGGGGATCTGAGCCATTTTAATAGCTGGCTTAGATATATCTAAAGCCAAGAACTGAATGTCAGCATTGTCGCCTGGATTTGAAGATTGAGCCCCAAGTTCCAACTGAACAGACCCATAGCAGCATCAGTGCAATCAATATAATATGTCACGAGGAACAAATGCTACAGCACATCCCCGGTCACATCTCGATGGCTCTAATACCTCCGGAAAGCGAAATCCGGTTTCATTAATCCTCGGATTATCGTAGGAGCAGTGGCTTGTCCGTAAAACAAACGAACAGCATTCACGGCTATTGTCTTGCCACCAGTGATGCGAATGCCGACCCCACGAGGGAGATAACCCCGGATAACAGCCATCCCTCCTCCATCAACTGTCTGGGGAATCGATCGTCTTGGTGGGGTTGTGCGGATTAAATGATGCTGTGTGGGGATTTCCGCTCGAGCGCGGAAACGAGGCGGAAAAGCAGTGATCCCGAGATAGACGAGGTACATCATCAGAATTATGCAACGATCCTCGTGAGCTTCTTGTCGGAGCACCTGGACGAGCCCCGCATTTGGGCTATTTCGTCAGACGTGGGATGTCAAGTGGTGTTTCACATCGTCCGGTGGGCGCACTGGTCACCCAAGCTATAAAACTACAAGGCGGCGCAACTGCCAGGACAGCGAGACCACTATCGTCAACTGAGTTACCCCCTTACCATGGCCTGTACAGCGCCATTATTACCGGTGCTATCCTCGCCGGCTTCGTCGGAGGCTGCTTCTGCTTCTCCGGAAGTCTCATCCCCGGCCACGTCGAACGATGAGTACGAGGAACCCGAGCGAGAGATCTACACAATACATGACCTCCTGCTCGCGCGAGCCAACGGAAAAGCCGCTGACGAGCCTATTGTCGCATACCCTTCTCAGGAAATCGATTATGTATACTATACTCCCCGTCAGGTACACATGTCACCAATCCCGTGCTCTCGGGGGCCATCATAAAAATCCAACCCAATGCTGATCCAGGGTCACAGATATACGACTTTGTGGAGGCTGCGGCTGTTCACTATGCGGCACGAATTCCCCAACGTCGGTCGTCAGAGGATCCTGTGCAGGTCGTGGGTCTACTGGGCCCCTCTGATTTTGAATACCTCATCACATTGATGGCCATTTCAAGATTGGGACACACAGTACTGTTGCTTTCCACGCGCATCGCCGAGGATGCCTATGTCAGCCTGGTTGACGCCACCAAAGCCTCTTTTCTCATCGCACAGGACGGTTTCAAGGCTATGGCAGACAACGTAAGCAGTCGGACGGGTGTTGCAGTGCAGCCAGTTTTAAAGCGCGACGACTATGACAACTCCACTATCGGCAAGCTGGTCCTCGACGCCAGCAAATTCGACGGGCCGACGGAGGCAAAGAATGTGTGCTGGATTATCCATTCGAGTGGCTCAACAGGACACCCCAAGCCGATCTATCAGACGCATGCCGGCGCTTTGAAAAATTATGCCAACAATTTTGGTCTCAAGGGATTTATCACCCTGCCCCTCTTTCATGCCCACGGCATCAGCTGTCTGTTCCGAGCAATTCACTCTCAGAAGCTTATTTATATGTACAATGCGAAGCTGCCATTGACTGCCTCGTACTTACTATCCACTCTGCAGGGACATCCTGACATTCAAGTGCTCTACGCCGTCCCATACGCCCTGAAACTTCTTTCCGAGTCAGAACAGGGCCTGGAGTCCTTGGCGCGCATGGAGCTGGTCATGTTCGGGGGCTCGTCCTGTCCCAAGCCGATTGGCGACACGCTCGTGCAGAATGGGACTCTCCTAGTCTCGCATTATGGGACCACTGAAACGGGACAGCTGATGACATCCTTCCGGGAGCGCTCAGATCTGGACTGGGATTATGTCCGACCGGGCCCCTCCTTGCTGCCATATATTCGATGGGAGGAGCGACTTCCTGGGATCTACGAACTTTCTGTCCTAGAGGGTTGGCCATCGAAGGTGGCTAGCAATTGCCCTGACGGATCCTATGCGACCAAGGACCTATTCGAGAAACACCCCACGAAACCCAATGCCTGGCGTTATTACGCTCGACTGGATGATACGCTGGTGTTGGAGAATGGTGAAAAGGCCAATCCGCTCATTATCGAGGGTGTGGCTCGTAATCATCCGGATGTGGGCGAAGCAATTGCCTTCGGTGCCAACAAGGATCGTCTGGGGCTATTCCTCGTTCGTGCGGCTAATGCTGGGAGTAAGACCGACGAGGAGATCATTGATGCGGTTCTTCCGGCCATCGAAAAGTGCAATGCGGACTCCCCATCTTATGCTCACATCTCGCGTGATATGATTCAAGTCCTCCCTTCGGACACGGTATACCGCGCAACAGACAAAGGAACCGTTATCCGCTCGGCATTCTATCGCGATTTCCATGAGCAGATTGAACAGGTCTATGAGCAGGGCGATGCTACTGGTGATCAAGTCCTTGAGGGGACTGAGTTGAATGCCTTTCTCCGGGAAAGCTTGCTCGAGGTGGCCCCGACGGTCGATTCTGCGGTGTTGGAGGATACCACCGACGTATTCAGTCTGGGTATCGACAGTTTGCAGTCGATTCGCCTACGGAAAGAAATCACCAAGACGCTGAACCTCGGTGGGCAAAAGCTCTCCCAAAACTTCGTCTTTGAGCACCCCTCGATTCAGCGCATGGCAGATGAAATCACACGGCTCCGTCTGGGGCTCGATGCGGATAAACAGATGCCCATCGAGGAACAAATGTCGCAGCTGATCGACAAGTATAGCAAGGATTTCAAGACGCATATTCCGCGACCGCAAGCCATCGATGGCGAGCGTATCGCTGTAACTGGGGCTACCGGCTCGCTGGGTGCGCACCTCGTTGCCCAGCTGGTTCAGATGGAACATATCCAGACAGTCTTTTGCCTGGTTCGGGCAAACTCTGCACATTCTGCCCTTCGCCGGGTGCGCCAAAGTCTTTATGAACGTGGTCTATTGTATACCTTGAGTCCCGCTGATGAACGCAAGATTGTGGCTTTGCCCGCACAACTCTCCAACACATTTCGCCTCGGGTTGGATGAAACCACGTACACACAGTTAACTCAGTCGCTGACCGCGGTGATCCACTGTGCTTGGTCCGTGAATTTCAACTGGTCTCTGGGCAGCTTCGAGGATAGCTGTATTGTCGCGACTCGCCATCTGCTCGACCTCTGTCTGGACGCACAG